CCCCCCACTTTAAAATGTCAACCCCTAAAATCAGGGGACATTATTGGGGGTGGGGGATGTGACCTCCCTGAGATTGCAGGGGTGAGGGGGTGGGTGATGTGACCTCCCTGAGATTGCAGGGGTGAGGGGGTGGGTGATGTGACCTCCCTGAGATTGCAGGGGTGAGGGGGTGGGGGATGTGACCTCCCTGAGATTGCAGGGGTGAGGGGATGGGGGATGTGACCTCCCTGAGATTACAGAGGTGAGGGGATGGGGGACGTGCCCTCCCTGAAATTGCAGGGGTGAGGGGGTGGGGGACGTGCCCTCCCTGAGAGCTCTTGGAAGGGCCAGCGTGGTTTTGGAAAGCTCTGAGTGACCCTTCTGGTGTCCTATGCCAGTTTGGCCACTTTGCATATCTCACTTCTTACCTGAATCCAGAATTCAGTTTATTGGCCTCAATTTGGGAATGTGGAAAATAAGTAGCCTGACTACCAGAATTTCCCAGTGTAAATGCTAAAGTGTTGAGCCAAATTCACCATCCCTAAAAATAATGCAATTTTATCTTTAAAATAATGATTGATTAAAAAAAACTTTTTTAGATTTACATGAAATAATTGGTCTTTTGTATTGGCTTAATCTTTTTCTTATTTCAGCTGACTAGCTGCTTAGGTCTAAACATTGGTCATCTTGAATTTTACCTAAGTTAATGTTTAAAATCATCTACCATGAAATTTATTATAATACCTGTACTGATGACGCTTTCAACCCAAACCTTTCATGCTACCCTTGGTAATGACCATGTCCTGCTCTGAATGTGGGGACTGCAGCGCCCACGCCCCTGCGGGAGCAGCCGGGTACCTGGACTCTCTCTGTGGCGCTGGGCCACAGCTGCCTGCACAGGACTTTCTTGAGAACATCGGGAAGGAGGCTGATCGTGATGAGCAGGATGATGGCCAGCCAGGCAGGGCCACTGGATAACATCTGGATGAACACATAGTACATCCTTTGATAATTGAGGAATGGCCTGGAGCGTTGGGGGAAAGAAGAAAAACAACAGGATGGCAGGTCAGAAATCATCAGGAGAAACACTGAAATCCCGCTCTGTTTCCCCCACTGGCACAAAGAGCCCTTGGTCCTGGCAGCTTTAACTTCTGGCACCGATGGTCATTGGGCAAGCCACCGAACATGCCTGCTTTGAATTAATCACAGACCTAATGGGATGGAGAACTTCCCCTATAACGCTGGGGTGTTCTGAATGGGAGAAGAGGAGGAAATTGTATGAAGTCATCCCAAAGGGAAAATAAGTCCCTGAAGTTCAGTTTCAGAATCACAAAAAGGATTTAAAAAGATTAAAATGGGTAATTCTTTTGGTATCTCAGAATCACAATGGCTATTAACATGAAGATTTACAAAGGTCCTGTTCATCAGAGCTCTAGTTAACTACCTAAAGCTTATGCTATAAAATTCTTTAAAATTGTCTATAAAAATACAGAGCACGAAATGGCTTCCCTGTCAGGCAAATCTATACCTCAAAGGAAATATCTATATTGGGCTCCATAAAAGAAGTTGAAGAGGATGCAGCAACTGATATAATGCTGAACCTGAGTTACAGTTTCATGATCCCTAAACCCCAAGGCCCAGGAGCCAGACAGAGAAGTTTTCAGGATGAACTTTCCTCTTCCAGGGCTGCAGCTTTAACAACTTGGGAAAGTTCGCTAGTATTTCAGGGATTTCTTAAAGCTTGGCACAGGGTTGTTGGAAACCCACCCAAAACTTATCTAAGATTTCTCTATTTCCAGATCGCAAAGAACATGTAATGCATGGCTTTGGTCACGAGAGGGCAGTAATGTAATGAGAGGTTCAGCAACGGCCAACATGGGGACAAGGTTGATCACAGAGGCTTCTCTACTTTCAGGGGCTGCCCCGTGTTTCTCAGGACCTGTGCTCAATATTGAAGTTGCAGAGTGGAGAGGATGTTGCTTCTGGACTCACATCCAGCCAGGCCTAATCGAAAGAGGCACTCCCTCCCAGGTCATAGCCACTGGGGCCTCCGCACTGACCTTCCCCGAGGCCCAGCCCTGCTCAGGAAATGCTCTGCTTTACGGGGAAGGTAGGAATGTACACAGGAGAATTATAAAACAATATGGTACCTCCATGACAGGAGAATGAATAAATGCTTAGGGGACTAGAAGGAACCGTCTGTGAGGTGATAGAGGGAAGCACTGAAGAGGACAATGAACCACAGGGTTTTGAAGGATGAATAAGAGCTCAAGAGGAAGGCTAATTGGAAAGGGCATTTTTGGCGGTAGGAAGAGCATGGGCGAAGGTGTGCTTGTGACAGTACCAGAACACATGTCAAATGCAGCCGCTTCTTGCCCTCATCAGGATTACTTTTCCAGCTGGACCAAGGCTCCTCTCCAGTCAGAGTGGACTGGCCATGGCCCTGCCACAGTGCTTTTGCACATGCATCTCTCTTCCTTAGGGCTCTGTCTGGCGTCAGGCTGCCTCGGCCCAGTGGCGCTGCTCTCTCTGTCCATTTTATCACTTGCAATGTACGGAGAATGTGGTTGGGAGGAAGACAGAATGAGACATGTGCTGTCAAATACTCAGCCCATGCCTCATTCTAGGAAGCATTTAATAAGTGAGACCTGTTACGATGATGGTGATTTTCTCCCAGGTTGCAGTTTAAATAACAATTTTATGTGAGAAACCTTCTCTGACCTTCAGTGTGAAACAGGCCCCTTGCTATAGCACCCGGTTTGTTCCTCACTTGTCAAAACCCCGGTAAGTTATTATCCAGCATGTTGCCACCACTGAAAATGTGGGGCCCAAGGGGTAGGGACCATGCCTACCTCATTCCCGCCATGGCACAGAGCCTTGCACACAGCAGGCATTCAACAAATACTTGCACACAGGAATGAGGTTAAATGGAAAATGTGTTTTGAGGCCCCGATGAAAGATACTGCAGGACTACTAGTATAAAGGTAATAATGATTATATGCTACTTATAATTCTTACCAGATGATTCCTCCCCAGAGGAGGGAAAAGACAACGTAGAATAGCAGCGACCCCCAGATGACAAAGTGGTTTATCCAAGTCCAGTAGTGTGTATCTAATGCCAGCTGGAAGAAAAAAGGTGATGAGCAGTGGGATTATCTACATGTCACATGAGCCATGGCGAGGAAAGAGAGCCAGAAAATAATGAAACCAACCAACTAACCAACCAGTACCTTAATATACCTTAATTTTAGCCAAAATGTCCACATGAAACTGCTCAAGGAAAACAAGCCCTTATTCTTCCAATGAAGATACAGAATGTGTGACGTCACGTCCTTGTAATCACAGCATTCCTAGTAACTCTCACCCGGATCCGGGGGAAATGCACTGGGAAGTGTTTCTCCAACAGCAGGGACTCGGGGGCGATCGCTTAAGGTACTGGCTATGTTACTACTAAGAATATTACTTTTGGATTTTCTTTGTATCACTTTTTAAAACTCAGATTGATAGGTGTGGGGACTTCCATAATAATGTCCCATAAAGAATTTGACTTTTAAAAGAGCTGGATTTTCCATAATGCATTGATTTCAGTTCAAGTGCATTTTTTATTATACTGGGGGGCAGGTGGGCTTGCCAATGAAAATAATTCGAATCCGAATCCTTTTACAAAGAAAAGGCTCAGTGAGGGATGAGTGGGAAAGGTGAAAGGGATTGAGAAGTACAAATTGCCCGTTATACAAGTAGCCTTGGCTGTAAAGGACAGCATCGGGACTATAGGCAATCACATTGTAATAACTATGTTTGTTATGGGATGGGTATTAGACCTATGGAGGTGATCACTTCATAAGGTACATAAATGTCTAATCACTATGCTGTACTCCTGAAACTAATATAATATTGTGTGTCCACTGTAACTAATACATAATTTAATAAAAAACAAATTAAAAAAAGAAAAGGCTCATTCCTGCATCTGCCTTCTGTATAATTCTGGAGGTCTGTGTACTGGATCGTGGGGTGAGCTGAGTCTACGCCTCACTCATTTGAATGGTGGTAAGAAGCCCCCTTACTGGGCCCAGGTGCCCATCTGGGCTGTGTGCTAGTGTGGATTGTAACTTGGAACGGATTTGTAGTTCAAAGACGGGGAGACCTACACACGCCGGGGTTAACCGTGGCCAGAAGAAGCAGCACCAACACGGGAGAATTTACCTTTAGTGTGACGGTAAACACCATCACAGTGAACACCAGCGTCCCAAAGGTCCAGTTTCCGAATATCTGTGGGGACAGAGTCCAGGCAGTCTTTTGTTAATACGCATTTCCCCTCTTTCACACTCAAACGAGAGTGTTTAGAGCATACATCTCATTGTTGTCCTGCGCCAACACTTCACACCCCCAAGATACAGGGACTAGGTCTTGTTACTACAAAGTGAAAGGAGATGGCAGTGAACACCCTGGGCATTCACCCCCCGGCTCCCCAGTGCCATCCCGCAGGGCCAGGCAGTGACCGAGAGGTGGAAACAGCCCTTCCTACACTGACAGTCCTGTCTCCCGGAAACTGGCTCCCTCGGTGCTGTCAACACACATCAGTCCTAACGTCACAAACTGGGAGCAAGAAAAACACTGAAGAGCAGGTATTACATATGCATGATGCTAACTCTGGTTTTTCTGTTTCGAGTTTCATGTCGAAGCAACATTTACCCGATTACCCAGTTCTACGCCTTCTGCACGTTCAAGAATAAACTCAGTAGAGTTTCTGTCTATTCTCTTTCGGACTCAAGTCTGACACCTGCCTGCTTTGGAAGAAAAGCAAGTGTTGGAACATTTTGCCAGTAAGCAGCCAGTATGTGCGACACATGGTTAGGATTTCCTCGGGAAAATCGCAGGAAAGGGAGAAATGAGGCAGACAAGACAGAGCTGCGTGAAGGCCCCCTGCAGCCAGTCTGATGGCCAGAACCACAGACGTGTCAACAGTCCCTCAGAAGAGGCCGCCGAGAGGCGAGAGCAGGGAGCAGGGAGCAGGGCTCCCAGCACCCAGCACCCGAGGACCCGGGCAGGCTGCCGGGGATGGTGTGGGATGGAAGCACTCACGGTCACATCATGAAAACAGCACATTCCCACCTACAGGCAAAGACACAAGCAAAATAAAACACCTATTGCTGGAGACTTCTTTCCCCCAGGGGGCAATTCTAAGAGTAAGTTTCTTCCAGGTTTCCACACTAAGAACCTGCTGTGCCTGGTACTGCGAACCATGCTTCTGAGAAAACGTTGCTTTCCTTCTTTAACAGATTATAAAGCTTTATTTCACAATGAATTTAAAAAACTGGAATACAAATTTTCAACTACATGTGACTCGATTCAGGTGAATGTGTAGGCTACCCATCTTGTGATACATCTAGTGAGGTAAGAACACTGGTAGAATTCCAGAAGGAAAACTAAGTAACGTGTTAGGACTTTGTTGTAAACAGACTTCATAAGGATCCTGCCCCCAATGAGCATCTCTTTACACTTTATTCTTTACTTCAGCACCATGAGCGAAACCGGGCTTCCGTCACTCGGAGCCACAATCACCAGTGGCTCTCAGTGGGGAGGGGGTGTGGGAATTCTGACTCCAGGGGACACTTGCAGTGCCTGGAGACGTTTTTTGGCTGTCACCATGGGGGGCGGGGAGTGGGGGGAGAGGTGCCACAGGCATCTAGCAGGCAGAGGCCAGGGGCCTGCTAATTGCACTGGGCAACCCACAGCCAAGAGCTCTCTGGCCCCAGGTGGCAATAATGGTCAGGCTGGGAAATCCTCAAAAATGTGTTCTCCCTTCAATGCTTAACTTCCGAGGCAGGAACATTGGCAGAGGACTACAACAATGCTTGGCCAGCTGGGTGTTGGAGAGAAAGTGGCTCTGCTTTGTTTTCACTGGAGGCCGATGCTGTTGGCCAAAGTGAGGGGTGACCCTGCTGTAAGGCAAAGGGCGGCTTTGAATCCCATGCTGGCACCATGGGTGGGACCTGGCACACCTGCCCGCTTGTTTTCCACCCCTGCTGGGCAGGAAACCTGGAACTCATTTTAAAAAGTGTTCGATAATAGCAAATTGTGGAAATGGAGTCAGCACAGAAGAGTGATAGGCTATCTCCAACAGCATCACAAATCAGGGACAAGCTTTCAGCCACTCAAGTGACTTCTTTATTTCTCTCTCTCCAGAGGGTAAGGGGGTACTTCTCTAGGGCACCGCCAGGTTTTCTTGTATTTGTGGATTATGGTGGATCGGGGATCTCAGATTAGGCATCCCGATGCCTAGTCCAGTAAAACACATGGGCCTCCGCTGTCATGTTTACAGGTGAATAGCAACAAAGCACAACTACCTTGAACACAGAATTGAAAATTTGGCTGGAACCCTGGGCAATGCTGGGATCTGCTCCACCCTCACCTATGCTCTCTCGCTACTTCTGGCTCTTTGGGATAGACAATCATGGTGACATCTCTATAAATTCCTCTGAATTTTCTTATTTGTTTTAAGGAAGCCCTTAGGCTAACTGCTAATAAAAAATGTATTATTAAAATTGTTTGCCATTATTTCTATGGATTTTGTGGTGGGAGGTGGCATGGTTCACTGGGATACCAACCCTCTTTCTCAAAGAACTGTCTGGAGGGACCATCTTTTTTCAAGTTTCATTAGCTCCCATGCCCCCCATGAGCCTGATTTCCTAACTGCTATCTCCATTGAGAATGTCACTAACTTCATAGCCTCACTCAGATGATAATGAGAATTTCGTAGAATGTCTCTGGAGCCTGCCACTCCAATAGATCTACATTTAATCCCTTCTCTCACTTCTTCCTCTCTCTTCTGAAGATGGGTATTTTGCAGGAAATGTTCCTGCTTTTTAAAGCTCTAAGATCCAGACCAATTTAATTTTTATGCATACAAATATCCCACAACAAACCTGACTTGCATTTTTTTCAAGATCACAGCCACAAGAAACACCTATTACATTTCCTTCATGCACAGATTCCGGATTGCTACCAAGTCTGCTGGCATAACTTGTCCTTGCTCCACTGGCTGGCGATGGCTCAAATTGCAGCTACCTGGATGTTTACTGACTCATATTATACCATGCTCTAAACTTCCAAGTGTTCACCTAGGAATACCCTTGGCCTTGCACTTGACCTGGAGTGGCCTTGGACTATGCCAATCTCTTGGAGCTCCTGTCTTCCTAGTGACACAGGTAAGTGTCCACACTAGGTCCTTTACACCCTTATCACTCATAATTAGGGATGCTATGAGTATTATTCATCTTGCTGTTATAACTCTAGGTCCTTAGATTATTTAACTTCTATAGAGCACTAGTGAATTGGAGCAAATTTCGCCTCTAAAATGCATAACTATAGACAGACAAACACCTCACATTAAATACCTTATTTGGCACCAACTGCCCCATGTACTGCTTCCTACTATCACTATGTGTCTCAGAAGCTTTTCATATGACAGGATGTGCATTATGCGTGTTTAATCTTTGTCATGACAGGTCAGTGAGCAGAGTACTCTCACAGCTCTTGGCTAATGAGTGGCAAGTCACCCACTAGGGATTTCTTAGTGGGAGTGGTACAGGTCAACTTGTGTTTTCTTTACCCTGGTCTCTCTTTCTGTCATTGTTTCAAATTCTAATAAACAGTTTTGTCCAATAATGGCTGAACAAAGGCATGCAAGTGGTAATTATGGGAGATATAAAAGTGTTGCAGAAAAGCATCATTCTAGAAGTTGAGACGTTAGTATTTAGGATCTGTAGGGGCTCAGGGCATCCTTAAGGAAACAGGAAATAGGATATAAGTCAAGAATTGGTAGAAATCCTTGGATAATATGCAAGGCCTCAAAACAGCACCGCATCCACTGACCCACAGCGGTATAAGGAGTGGCTGGTGGAAGTTTGGTTGGAGACACATCAGGGCTACTGGAATTTGAGCAGGAGGAGAAGATGCTGCTCAGACATCACGCTGGCAAGGCCTCTCTATGGTCTGTACCTCAAAGCCCCACCACACTGGTCAACCAGCACTCCCTATAGGTTTTCAGGCGCACCTCTAATTTTACTATGTAACACTGAGATTAAACAATTACTGGTAAGCAGCAGCATGGACTACAACAAATACTATAATTTTGTACCAAATATCCTGGGTTTGAGTTCTAATTACCTGACTTTGTATAAATTTTTTAACCTGTCTGAAGTGAAGTTTCTTCAACTATGAATATGTCCATGGGCGATGGCAGTTGAGAGAGGATAAGATTTGTGAATATGAACTGCAAATAAAGTGCCTGATGAATGGCACTTACTTCCGTATCAGCTGGCTACCACGGTCCTGGAATTTCATCCTCAGGACACAGAAGCTTAGTTCTTTTTAAGATACATACGAGACGCTTACTTAAAGCGTAACCCATAAGGACAATCTTATAAAAGAAATATAAAGAACAATAAGACAGCTCTGTTTAATGACATTTATGGCCTGCTAGCATCCAGAAATTATTCAATTAAAATAAACTAAGACAAAGAACAAATTCCAGAAAAATGCAAAGTTTGTAGAAGAGTGAAAGAAGACTTTAAAAAATTCTCAAGATCAATTTAGTAAAAACCGGTTTACGTTATAATGAAAGATAACTGCACCTTTTAGTAACAAGAAATGAGAAACAAATAAATGGGTAAACAAATTCTATGGGACCTGTAACAAGACCTTTGGGTTTCAAGCCAACAGCTCTAAGAGATGAGCCACACAGGAGGACAACATAGGGAGAGGTGTTCTGTCAAACAGGAAATGAAGCAAACTTCTGTTCACAAGCCACCCTTATTTACATCAACAACAGTGTTTATGTTTAGGGCTAGGTAAATACGTAACATTCAGGTAGGGCACAATTCTGACATGTGCTCCATGTCTTTTGCAATTGTCCCAGGTAGCACGGGTTTGCCACATTCCAAGCGGTGTCCCCAACAGGCCCCGCATGCCTGCATACGTTGCCTCTAATTTATGGTAAAGGGAAGCTCAAACAAGTCAAATTGAAAACTGTCACTGACTCAGTGGCAATCCTGACACAGAAATCCAGAGATAAACACCAAGTACAAATGATCAAATGTCACAGACTTCTCTAATACAACTTTCGTCTACAGGAAGGAGAGGGGAGCAGCAGCTAATAGTGTTTCTACTGACAAAGCACACAGAAGTAGTCACAATTTGAAAATATTTTCGAGAAATATTTTATCTAGAATGCACTCCAAAAACATAGAGAGGACACACCCACAATTGTCTTACCATGTGTGTGTTGGTAGTCATTATCTGAGAGTGGGAAGGAAAGCAAGTCGCAAAAAGAAAAAAATCAAGATACAAATAAAACAAACCCTAGAAATTATGCAACCAGAGAGCTGATGTCTATTAGAAACTATCAATCTACTCATTGCAAAGGAAACAGACACTTAAGGACATGTGAAAAAAAAGGGGAAAATGTGTTAAATACGAAATTCCCATATTAAATAAGCCATGCTTGGTGGATCTCACTGAACCGCTAGATAAATAATTAATGGTGAAATACAAGTTACAGAAACAAAGTCTGAAAACCCTCAGGAAGGGGATTTCCCACAGTAAGCCGAGTATGCGGAGTAGTGCATTTACTGACGTACTATGACCTGTAAGCGATTTGGGAGCTAGAGACCCAAATATCAGGAGACCCCACAGGCTGTGCTGAATGACTGCACTGACCCCGGATCGAACACCAATCGAGGGTTATTCCCAAGCAGCCAAGTCAACAAGACCCAGTTCAGTACTAACCTGTCCATTGCTGGTCACAGATGCATTTTCAAACATGAAGTAAGCACCAAAGAAAAATACCAGAGCGTCAAATACTCCTAAGAATGTCCAGTAAATGAACACTCGCCAGCGGAGTAGAGCGTTCTTGGTGATATCTCTGTGGAAGGAAAACAGTGAGAACATAGTGGCTGCGTTCCATTAAAATAGGCCTCGGCCAGGGACCCCGCTGTCTCCACTGTGCTCTGCAGTGAGCACCTGTGTCCACTAGGGGCCTCTAAGTCACTGGAGAGATTTCACAACCAGGGCACTGGTGTGGGCACCATCCACCCATCCTACGTGGGTGTCCCAGTTTTACAGAATCTCTCTATATTCTTTCTTACAACCACATGTGAATCTAAAGTTTTCTGAAATACAGTAAGTTTAATTTAAAAAGCCATAAAAAACCCCAGTAACACAGACATATGCCAGACATCCTGAAGTGCAGTTCTGAAATAACAAACGTCATTTCCTTGTTATTAAAACATACTTTTCAAAAAGCAGAAAAGAACACACCAAAATCAGATCTGTTAACTCCACGCCCCCACCACTTCACTGAATAAAGCAGAGCATATGTGGTTTTTTAAGAATAATTTAGGTCATAGATGCACTGGGGTTATAAGGGGATAGACATCCTTACCCCAGTCCTTTCGTAATTTATCAAAAATCATGGTAAACAAATTAAAAAAAACAAAAGGCATGGTAAAGCAAACACAATATGACAAAATACGAACTGGCTTAATATGTACATTTCAAATGCAACATAAATCATCTATCTAAATTTGAAGTATAATCAGTCAAATTACATTGACTCTTGCGTAAGGACTCCAGTAAAAGCAAGTGCATCAGCTGACACTGAATGTTTCTGGTTTTTAAGTAATTCAACCAGGCATTTAGTTGGAGGCACTGCTTTCTGGCTGCCTCGTTATTATTCTCCGAGCTCTAAAGCAAGTGTGCCTGCGGCTTCGTACCTGTAGAGGGAAGGGTCCCTCTTGAGTGTGTCCATGCCGACGTGCTGCTCCATCAGGCTGTACAAGAGAATCGGAAGGGAAGTGAAACTGATGTTGTACAGTGTCAGGTAGGCGGTGTCGTACAGCGTCTGCAAGAAGGAGAACATCCACTGAAAACAGCACCCGTGCACCTCGTTAAACTTTTTTGATTGTTTTGTTAAACATACATTTTTAATTTGCAAAGACTTTTAACATGAGCATTCTGAAATACAGACAGAGCCTTCTTTCTACAGATTTAGAAGGACAAGGACAATTTTCAAAGCTTCATGATGTCAACTAGTCAAGATTAAAATCATGGCTGAGAGAAGGCCCGACGGTGACCCACCCCATTTGGCCACTGCAAACTTGCAACAAAAAAAGTTGCATAAAAGCTTGCAATTTTGATCGCCATCTTCAAGCTCCCATTTCCCCCAGTGCCGGACCCTTCAGATGGAAGCAGGTGGCCACAGCCCATCTGAGCAGGACAGGAGAACAAGTGAGCAAGGGAAAGGAGGGGCCCTGACAGTCTCTTCTCCCATCAGATGGCCTGCACACCTCTGCTCGGCACTTGAAAGTGTCAGAAGCCAATGAATTGTGAGACACCGAGACAGAATCTCAGATTTAGATTCAGTCCATTCAGAAAGCCCAACACAGCTCTCCTGGGCTTGGGGTAGGCAAGTTACTCACTGGGCTGCACGGGAGAGCCTGCAGTCAGCAGACGTGGGCCCCTCCACGTCACTCCTTCTCTCCACCCGCTGATGGGCTGCTGCGGGCACTTGGGCCTCCCTCCCCATCCTGGCCTGATGCCTCTGCTGTCTACTCTCCCCCCACTGTAGCCACCCCCATGTGGGAGGGAGATAAGGCTCAGGGGAGCGTCTGACTTAAGACATTAGGACTCACCTGCTGTGAAAACCCACAGAAGAACTGGTATAAAAACTGAGGGAAAATGAAGCAGACATTCTGAAAGACAAGTCACATGCCAGTTAGTTCAAGGGCACATTGGAAGAGGCATCTAACCTCCTCCGAGGCTGTCCACGGGACACCACTTTATCTGGGGAAAGTGACCCAAAAGTGTCCTATGTTCTCATAGGAGCAGGTAATGGGCTTTGCATTTTTTTCTCTTTTTTAATAGCACCTACAGTGCATATGTGACCATGTTCTGGTAACTCTGAGAACAGATAATGTAAAAGCAAATTTGTTGAAGAGATAGGAGGGAATGGTGTCAGTGTAAACAGGAAAGAATCAAATTGCATAATGAATAAGGAATTAGTTCAAGGAATCATAAAAGAATGCCCCTTTCTCATTCATTTTACAACTGATATCTTCTTATTGATTCCACATGAAATTGTGCGAATGGGAGGAAAGCGCTAGGATCAGCCCCTTCCTTGCTGACAATTACTTCTATTTTTACATAAATCACCCCTTAAGGCAGTGGTTCTCAACCTTCTGGCCCTTTAAATACAGTTCCTCATGTTGTGACCCAACCATAAAATTATTTTCGTTGCTACTTCATAACTGTAATGTTGCTACTGTTATGAACCATAATATAAATATCTGATATGCAGGATGGTCTTAGGTGACCCCTGTGAAAGGGTCGTTCGACCGCCAAAGGGGTCGTGACCCACAGGTTGAGAACCACTGCCTTAAGGCATCTGTAAATTGTGTCATTCCATCGCGGGTAGTATATTTCACCGAAACAGTGAGAGGAGCAAGGAAGTACTTCCTACCTTATAAAAGAAGTATTGCACAAGCTCAGATATCCTAATGTAATAATAATGCCCATGAACGAGTAGCATCTTCTTTAAATGCTTAAATTTAGGTATTGCATAGTCACTGTTCCTTGCAGCCTGACGACCTTCCTTTCCAATGACACCTATAAGAAGAGAATAAATGTGCTGAGTACACGCTTTCTCAACAACATGCAAGTGAAAATGGGAATAAGAAAATAAGGTTAGATACAACCATGGCTGTGAGATTTCTTAGTCATGAACGTACGAAATCCCAGATGCTGCCCTGTGTCATCTGAAGCCTATGATCTTGCCTTTGGCTGTATCCCCTTCTTGTCTAGCTGAAGTGATAAATCTCAGTTACCAAGATGCACAGGAAATAAAAAAAGAAGAGGCTTACCTATGCCCACATGGGCCTCCAGGATCATGCTGACATCATTTGCACCATCACCGATTGCTAATGTAATAGGGTGCTCTTTTGAAAATTTGATTAATTTAACAATCTGGAAAAGAAATACAGAATTGATCTTCTCTGTTTTACTTTTGATAAGGTTAATCATTAACTAAGTATAAATAAGGAAGATATAAGTTAGGTAAGAAAAATGAAAAAATTATTTACTTAGGCAGGGGTGGGGGACCTTTTTTCTGCCAAGGGCCATTTGGATATTATTTATAACATCATTTGTGGATCATACAAAACTATCAACTTAAAAATTAGCCTGCTATATTTGGTCAAGCATTTAATTAACTCACCCCTAATGCCTTGGCAGGGCCAAACCAAATGATTTTGTGGGCCTTATACAGCCCATGGGCCGGATGCTCCGCACCCCTGGCTTAAAGTAAGTGTACTACATTCGATCTATTTTATCCATATACGATATATTTCACATTGAAAGAAAAACAAAATAAAGCAAAAGTAGCTAAGGTTTGATTACAGTGAGATAAGTAGGAAATGGCTGGTTAGCAACCTGAAGACAGACATAAAATAGATGAAGTAGTTTTCAGTTACAGCTACACTCACATATTTAAACAGAAGGGAAAGTATATTTAAATATAAAAAGAAAAATCTGAACATTGGATTCTATTAGAAAATATTACTATTCCAAACTATTTGTTATCTAGCATCTACTTTTTAAAATAAGCTATTCTTAATGCTATTTTAATTTTCAAACTTGTCAAGTGTGTAAAAACAAATCTGACAGTCCAATGCAATGAATAATTTCCAAATGTTTTAGCCAATTTCTTGGGACTCACTATTTTCCATTCATGTGTCTAAATGATGGTTTGAGATACAGAAGTAAAAAGATGAAGGGAAAAATGTGTAGATTGCCTTCTTTGTTTCAAGATGAGAGACTGAAACAAAAATTAATTTGTATAAAAGTTTGTTAGACTCAGTTCAGAGATGCGTTTATATATAGTGCATATAAGGTTTACATAGAATCAGACACATAAGAGGGCGGTAGGGAATAAAACCATTTTTTATCTTAGATAGAATGTATATGAGTTTTCGAGTCTCAGCTTGTCCTCACAAAGAATTACCCAGGGAGGTCGAGTCCTATATTCTTAGTAACCCGCCACTTAACAGATTAGTGTAGTTCACGTGCGAGGATGCTAAACATGACCTCTTTGCATGTGATTTTCAGTACTTCACCTTAACCCACTGGGTTAGTCTGAGCTGTTACTGTTTTCTTTCATGAATCATTCACAAGAAACTGGTCTAGTGTATCTAAAATGTGGTTTAACAAAATTGGAACTGTTGTAGTTTGATATCAGAAAGAGATCTATGTTCACATATGTATGCCATAATGCTTTAAAGAGTATTTTTTAAAAAACCATCAGGTGTGTGTTTCCACAAGAATATGTTGCAGTGGGTAGAATATGAGTTTGGAGTCCGACAAACTGGAAACCAAATTCTGGCTGTAATTTTCCAAACGCCTCCTTTTAGAAACATCACCCTGGTTTTCTGCACAGGTACTTCATTTGTAAAAGTAGATTAACATCAGCCATCTATCAGGCTGATGCTGAAGGTGAAATGGGTTCATGTGACTGGCTCAGTAACGCTGAGGTCACAACGTTTGCCTTCCGTGTGTATTCCTATCAGTGATTATACCTGTGTGTGCGGTTTTATTTTACAAGACAAGTCAGTCAGAGACATCTCTCCTAGAAAGGGTCATCCATTTGATTCAGTGAACTCATACTAATCACAACAAGCAAAACAAGATCCATGTTTTAAATTTCTATCACATTTGCTTCTATGTAAAAACGGTGGTACTTTGCTACATTTCAAAAGAAATAATCAGTGGTTATGACAACTAGTGAATGGCTTTCAGTATTTAAATACCCGTCAATCTATAATAAAAAAAGTAATATGCTAATTAGACTGGACAACCTCCCGGACGAAGCCAGGGCTGCGAGGGAAGCCCGGGTCCCGGGTGCCAGAGGGAGGCCGATGCCAGCAGCCAGAGGAAGGAAGGCCTACGCTTGCACGAATTTCATGCACTGGGACTCTAGTTACTAGATAATTATAAGGGACAGGAGCACGGACCTGGGCCTTCTGCAGAGGGGCCATCCGGCAGCACAGCACGGCACTGCAGTTCCGGCAGATATTCAGGAACAGTTCTCGGTAGTTGCTGCAGCTGCCATCTTCTCGGGGTTTCATTATTAAAGACAGCGCAGCTCCATCAATAATTAAACCATAGTCTTGCATATCTGTTGAAAGTCTGTTAATGACACAAATCAGAGATTCCTCAATAACTAAGTTTATAGGTTTTAGAAGACCACATAACTTTCTTGAATATCTAGAGAGGCTACAAATCCATGATCAAGGGATTACAAAACTAGTACAGTAACCTGATGTTGTCAATAGGTTCTGCGGCTTTAAGCCAAACGATATATAAGGAAACCGATTTTACCATAGGCTGATGTACACAAGAGTTATATTCCCATGGTGTCTCATCAACATTATAGCGAAACAGCACTAAATGAAATGATGTTATTTAAGGACCTGCTTTACAGTAATCCCTCCCTTATCTTCGGAGAACACTTTGCAAGAGCCCCCAGTGGTTGCCTGAAAAGGCAGGTAGTACCGACCTATATACACTATGTTTTTCCCTATACATACATACTTCTGATGAAGTTCAATTTATAAATGAGGTACAGTAAGAGACCAACAACAATAATAGAACAATTATAATAATATACTGTAATAAAAGTTATCTGAACAGGGTCTCTCTCTCTTTGTCTCTCTTGTGGATACACTGGACAAAGGGATGATTCACACTCCAGGTGGGACGGAGGACGGCTTGAGACTTCACCATGCTACTCAGAATGGTGCACAGTGAAAACTTGTGAATTATTTCTGGTATTTTCCATTAATACTTGCTGACCATGACCACAGGTAACTGAAACGGGGGAAAGCGAAACTGTGGCTAGAGAGGGACTATTGTATTTCTTGTTTTATCAATATGGTCTTTAAAGTACTCAATGTAAAACCTCTGACTAAATTTTAAAATTGTGTTTTAATTAAACATTCACATTTCGCGTAGGCAAAGCAAACACACAGTTCTAACTGTGGATTCATGTGTGTGTCCCCGTACTGCCCAACCATAGAAGGAAAGCATTTATCTTGCAGTCTGAAGAGGTCAGTCTTTATTCCCAAACTTCCTGACCACATTGGCCACCCTCAGTCTTTATCTTCACAGCTACTATCTCCTTGGTATTATGCCTGAATGACCTGCATTGGGAAGAACATGATTATAATATTTCTCTTTGCTGGTTTTCAAAATTATAAGAAACATCTCTAACTCCCAAAAGGAACTCTGAAGATTAGGTGAAGGGAAATAGCTTTGTACCACTTATGAACACTTTAAAATTTGCATATGATCAGAGAGCTGCTTTTGCTTTACCTACATTAATGACAACCTAAAACGATTCAAATAAAATCTATTCTTAGATCGTGCAAGTAACACCAGCAAGGACAACATTAATAAAATGTATCAGAATAAATTCTGAGTATTCTTGGAAAAAACCCAACTCTGGAGCATATATTGTTTTGTCTTAACAGACAAGCAATCATGTATTATTAATATTTCTTTCAATGGTCTGGCAGATGCCCTGAGGAATCCAAAGTACCGTCTGTCCTCCCCCACCCCCCACCCCAAGTGTTTTAGAAACAGATGAGAATGTGGCCAGTGTGGCTCAGTCGTTGAGTGTCAACCTATGAACTAGGAGGTCATGGTTAGATTCCCAGTCAGGGCACATGCCCAGGTTTCAGGCTCCATCCCAAGTAGGAGGCATGCAGGAGGCAGCCGATCAATGATTCTCTCTCATCACTGATATTTCTCTCGCTCCCTCCCTCTCCCTTCCTCTCTCTGAAATCAATAAAAACATATATATTTTTAAAAAGACACATGAAAATGATCCCATTCACAGTATTTTATAAATCAATCAATCAAGTATTTTGTATCCTTTAACCAGCAGTGTGAAAGTACACACACCCACCCACACCCCCTCTTATGCACACCCTCTGTGTAAAAAGACACGTGACAGTTGCTAAAAAGAAATAGCTCTGCTCATGTTTCAGGTGGTCCCTCTCACCACGCGGATGCTGTTACTGATGGGAGGGCAGAACCACATTCCCAGCAAGGGCGTTGAGGCTCTCCCCTTGCCAACGGAGGTCACCTACCCTGAGAGGTTGTCCCTGGTTAAGCTGCCGTTGCAGCGCAGGACAGTTTTACTCAGCTCAAACAGGACGTCATGTAAACTCTGCTCCTCGATTTTCTTGGTGGTTAGTTCAAGCAGCTGTGTGTTACTCCTGAAAAGTTTGCAGGCGTAGCAGGTGGCTGCCGCCGTCTCCATCTTGTCCCCGGTGAGCACCCAGACTTTGATGCCGGCCTTCTGCAGAGCTTCTATGGTGTCGGCAGCTTTCTCCTGGAGCCTAAGAACCCAAAAACGAAACAACAATCGCCAGGGCTGACAAAGGCAAATCAAAACAAACCATTTCAGAAACTTGTGGCCTATGAAAATATTTTAATAGGCCTTCAGAATTAAAAAGCACCATCGCGCTGACTCATGGTCTTATGGTAAAGTGCCCGAACCTGTCTTTAAAGTGTATTAATTTTTTACCCCTCCCCCCAACTAAACACTTTCTAATACCTAATAGATAACATGGATAAAATATCTAGAAGTAAGGGCTGCTTGCATTGCCATACACCAGCATGACAGTTTCGGTCTAGCTGGGACTCACTATCCGGAGAGGCTTTAGGCAGCTGTAAGAAAGATCATATAGCCATCAACAACAAAATGTCTAACCCAGGGAAAAATGAGATCTGGAAAAGAGATGGTCAGTACTATTCATTACCTTTTCTTTTGGCAAAAACTGTTCAAATTTTGCCTCTTATCAAACTGGAGCCCAGGTTGCTGGAAACCAGGTAACACACTGACAATGTTAGCAGAGATTCTATGGCTAGCAGGGATCACAAGCTTCCCAGTGTCAGCTGCTGTGTGAAGCCTTTCTCGTGTGACATTTCACTTCTATAACCAACGTAAGGGCTGAGGACTTGACCACCACCCCATTTTACGTGTGGAAAACCCAAAGCTTGCAGAGGTTACAAAACGTGTCTGAGGGTAAACGGCTCTCTTGACATTGGTCAGACCGTCTCGCTATCCATCGAAGTCTGGCATCAAAACCACGCTTGCCTCCTTTCGGGGGCCTAGCATTTTTCTTGGTTTTAGGGTCTTAGGTTTTGATAGGCGTGTGGAGTAACATTGTGTCTCTCTGCCAAGCACTGCAGAGAAGAAATGGATTCAGATTCTAACTGGAAAGATTTGGTTAGATGTTGGAATCATCCAAGGTTGACCACACAATCATAAGTATTCTAGAGAGAGAAAAAAAATCTCTAATTTCACCTTTTTTTTTTTTTTTTTTTTAAGGAAACTGAGGCTGAGGGTGGTCTGTAAAGAGGCTGGCCAGAGATTTTAAAGATGTACACAAATATCATCACTTCAAAGCCACTGGCCCCTATATGTGCCCACCCACACCAGTATCTATTATCAATATTTTGATGTCTCAACTCCCCACTGACTCAGTCTGCTCCACAACCTTCTTGAGGGGCCCCTGCACATCGGCTCTGCTTGCTTGGTTCCTCCATCCGTAAGAGCCTTCCACTTTCCCACCACTTCCTTCCAGGCCCAGGCCCACACCCCGCCAGGCAAAACCACCCTACGGAGTATCTCTCTCCTGCCGAATGCACAGCTCCGTTCTATGACTGCCGTTCCACGCTGTAAACCTGTCCTGTGCATGTTATGCTTCCTCATGTTTATACTTGTGTCCATACCTGTTATACTCTGGACTGAATGAGGAAAGGGACTAAAGAAACAAAAACAAACACACAAAAAACCCAAGCAAACATGGAACAAACTGATCAGTCTCAGAGGGAAGGTAGGGGTGGATAGGTGGGAAGAGATTAACCAAAGAACTTTTATGCATATATGCATAACCCATGGACATGGATAATAGTGTGGTGAAGGCCTGGAGTTGGGGCGGCAGGGGAGGACTGGAAGGGGTCAATGGAGGGAAAAAGGGTACATCTGTATTGCTTTCAACAATAAAGACTAATTTAACAAACAAAAAACAAATCCAAACAAACCCAAAACTTCCTGCATTGTCCAATCTCATGCTATTGAGATTGAGATCGCAGTAAATGCTTGTTAAAGACACGGAAAAACTGTAGGTTTCGGGTTAAGGATTTAAATTTTGGACCAATATATAGATATTAAAGACTTCCAACCTTTATAGGAAATAAAATCTCAGTAAATGTATTGAAGCTTCTATTTCATTCTTTTAAATTGGAATAATTTTTTCTTTTCCATTTCTTTACTCTGTTCTCAGCGGGCCCATGGCCATTTCTTAGTGCATTAAGCCTTAAGTAACTTTTAGCTCTTGTTTCAGACTTGTCACAGATTAGAGGCTCTTTCTTAAGAAGCATTTGAAAACCTGTAATCAGTAATTTTACCAGTTCTTCTTATATGATTTGCAATATTCCCCTTGATCACATTGAGCATGTTAAGACCTACATTTTTACACCTGCATTTAGAAAGAACTAGTAACAAATTTAGACACATATTAGTTATTGATTCCATTCTAAAGAATAATTTAAAAAATTAACCCTGTAAGATATCTTGACTATACATAACATAATTCAAAAATGCTGACTAATTCTGGTTTCTTCTGTGAAAGTGTGAATTCAGGAATCTTATTCATGGAAAGTAAAACATCACCCAGTCGTGAGTTTCCTGTGATAGCATCTCCCCACACCTGCCCCCCCGCCCCCCGCCCCGGCATGCAGTCAGACAGTCTGTCTCTTCCGACCTGTGAACACGGGCCTTCCGTGTGGCTGACACTTTCCTCTGAAGCACCCGTGAGGCATCAAGCTTTATTTCTGGAGACAAGGCATAGTGTTTACTTACTGATCCTCAACGGCGGTAGCACCAAGCAGAATAAGATCTTTCTCTATCTGCTCATAGACTTCTATTAATTTCTTTTCTCGATCTTGAAGGGCCATCTTGCAAGCCTGTAGCAATTTATAAATGCCTTCATATTCTTCTGGGCTGAGCCTTTTGTAGGCAACACACAAAGTCCGGAGACCCTCCTATGGGAGGCAATGCATTCCACGTGAATTTCAGGGTCACTCTGCCAAAATATCATTTTTAAATAGCTTTCTTGATGTTTCCTTTCTCTAATTCAAATTACTAACCAAAGAATTCTAAACCAACCAACCCTAAAATGGGTTGACCATTTACAACTGCATTATTCACGTCTACATCAAATATAATCATTACAGATTACAGAAAAAAGTCAAACTAGTAAGCATGGGAATAAATAACAAAATCAGGGCCATCCAAAGATAAGACTTTGTTCTTTTATTTTGAAAAATGAAGAGTTGAATTTTTTTAGGGTAGTAATTTGCAATTCTATGGTGAATACCAAATAATATTTCTAAAGTGAACATTTTTTACACGGGAGTTTGTAATTCCATTTGATCTTATGCAGCACTTGCTGAAGGAAGCGGCTAGGCTATGTATCAAACCCACTGGGTCCACAGGAGAGTGAAATAAAAATCTAGGAATAACGAACTCTCTGCTGTGATCGTAATTCTGGACGTCACCACACACAGAGAACGAACGCACCACCCCAGCCAGCGAGGCACATGCAGAACACTGGATCCCATCCATGTGTTAGCGTGGGGCTTTCACAGCAGGAATGTGCCTGTCCCTTCCTCTCTGCCTGGCAGGATGGCTACAGGGAGATGCTCTTCTGCCCCTCAGAGAGAACATTAGCAGATTTCCAGGGGCTGAGAGAAGGCTCGTGGCATAATCTGCAAGAAGTGAGCATGTTCCCCTATGCACTGTGGGTACACAGAAGGCCTGATGAAAAGTTTAATGTCAGAAAGCCAAGTTATTAAAGAGTTGAGAGAAAAGTTTAAAACCAGTTATAAGAGAAAGGGACCACCTGGTTAAGAAATGGGCCAGGGAGGGGGAAGTCTTATACCCTTTTCTGCAGGAGCCCCTAGAGCAGGAGACATAATGCCATAATAGTACGCTGTGGGAACCCTGAGTCTTAAAGTCTGGGTTTTCCTGATGCCCAGGCAGCGTTGTTTGGATAGAACACACGGAATTCCATTTTGGCTCCGTGAACTTCCTTTCATTCAGATATGACTTGCGTCTGAAGGAGTGAGAGGGGTGCACGGGAGAGCCCGGGGGGAGAGAACACCCTCTCCCCGTCCTGGGCAGAGACCCCAGGGTTCAGCAACAAGCGTCCCCTGTCCAGAGCCTATGCCACTGACTTGTGTGGCTACCAGCGTGGCCGGTGTCACACAGCCATCTGGCCACAGTGGGAAAAGGCCTCGCTGTCATTTCAGATATGGTTCTGAAGGGACTTGCAGATGGGGCTGCCCCCTCAGGGGTCACCTTGCACACCCTGTATTAAAACTCGTCGTCTGTAAGTGGACTACATCCTGCACGTGTACACTTAAGTGCTTAAGAGAAGTCCTTCATCTTCTATTCCAACAGGCTCCTCACCTCGGTGGGCAGCAGAAATGTGTGCCATTGTCACTTTCATGATCCCATACACAAAAGGTTCCATAATCTTAAACCTGCAGCTCATTTACTGATTCCTGCTGGTTCCGCGGCAGCTGCTTTGTGGGACCAGTAGGTGTTACTCGGCGCTTTAATACGAAGTGGAAGCCAAAGGGTTTGCACATGGCAGCCACACTTAACAGAGTTTACCGCTGCAGCAGCTGCCGCCGGTACGCATGGTCTCAGCGGAAGAAGGATGCTTCTCGGACAATATACACATTTAATGCCACAATATTTAGAGTCAAGCAGGGGGAAGGTGTCTATAAGAGCCATCCATCACTGGCTTACAGTCTGATGTGGAGGGGAGGAGAGGGGCCCTGTGTCAGAGATGCACCGCTTGTCCCACACCCACAGCAGACCTTGGCGAAAGGGAACTGGAGCCTGGGGTGGGAGGTGGAGGGTTAGGGGGAGCTCGAAAGCTCAGATTTGCCGACAAACTGAACAATATTGAATTTATAGGGCAGACTATGCTTCAGAATGAGAGGTGGGAAGAAGACTTAACAAGTGAAGACACATGGAAAGCCTAAGAGCTGACTGATTTTTGAAAAGGAATCATTAGAAATCATTCAGCATAAAGATCTTTCTCCAGTATAATCACCACAAATGTCTACCAACAATCCCACAATCATCTACCAACCAACCCAGCCCCCACCTCAAAATAAAAGGAAACAAAACATGCAACAGGCTCCTGAGTCCACCTGCTGGGGGTGGTACCCAGGTTGGAACACTACCCGTGTGAAAATCAACGGGGTTTTCCAGGTTGTGCACACGTAGTCCATTCGGACTTTTAGTGTGTCTCTTAAAGCCACGTGGCATCCTCAGTGGGAGTCTTTCCTTCCTGACCCGGGAGAACCATGGGACCCGTGCCCTGGAGCCTCCATCTCACCACAGCGTTCCGCTCCACTCGGGCTCGGATCTGGTCGACTTTGCCTTCTATTACTCGGGGAAATATTGAAGAATCTGCTCCTTTGCAAAAGAGAAAAATTTCTCCTAGAAAATGAGAAGGAAAAAAAAGATGTTTGATTTAATCACAATTTGGGGAAAACTAAATTAGTTTTCATATTATGCTACTAAGAAACAAAAACAGGGATACCAGTGCCGAGACTGTTGTAAAGGAGATGTCAATAGATCAGCTAACATGTCAAGTCAGGAAAAAATTAAATCTACAGATCACCCCAAAGCCTCATTTTATCCTTACGACCCTAGAAACCTCCTAGGAAAGCCACAAACAAGGAAAACAAGTGGCTCCGGGGTGCCCTGCCTCCTGTCACTCTGCCTTCTCTCGGGTTAGGATGTGAGTGAGCAACGAAATGACCCTGGGACCAGGAGGGGGTAGGGAAACGAAGGGTGCGGCTGACCCAGAAGTGGGGATAACAATTTGTGAAATACTAGGAGGTAAACGTCAAAACCCAGTAGAACGCAATGCACTTTGACGTAGAATACAACATCTGAGTCACCATCAACCAGAGTTACAAGACATGTCTGTTTTATCATTGTGGCCCCACCTTCCAAGTAATGTCCCAATACTAGGCACATATTTGTACTGTAGACGCATGCTCCTCGTCCCTCACGATAAAACCATTTTCTCCTCCAGATAAGTAGGGGGACTCTCTAGTCCATGACAAAAGGAGGTAACAGAGACAGAGGCACCAGCCCTGAAAGACAGGCCCCTCGGACGGGGAGGCTCCTGGCCTGCAAAGCCACGGGGCCCTTTGCCAGGTGGGCTTTGCTGATATTCAGCTCATGGAGGGAAAAGCTGGGTCACAGGCTGCAGGGCTTGAGAAGGTGCACTGTTGTCTTCTTATTTTTCTTCAGACAGGAAGTTCGAATGCTGAGCTCCCTGGTCCGGGGTTGATCCCTAGGAACCCTGGATGTTGACAGCCCTCAGAAGTACATCTGGGAAACCCAATCCAGAGGCGCCAGGAGAAGCTGGCAATGGTCCCACCACAGCAAGTCCCCAGGTGGGGCGGTCAGGGAGGGGCTGTGTGCAGGGGCTAGGGGGACCATACCAGCTGGTGCACACGGGGCACCCACCCGGGCCCATTCATGTACTCAGCTACAGTATGCATAGTGCACCTTGGCTTATTTCCTTGGTCCCAGGAAGAACTAACTCCTGGGATACACACAGTGAAAACATTAAAAATACAGCACAATTTATGCTCACACAAGTCATGAAATTAAACCAAGGGTAACGTCAACCTTTGGCCAGAAAGGATGGTGTCTGGTGATGTCTGTGTTGCCAGCACATGACCTGAGCTGTGGCTGAGCAGAGGCTGGGACAGACCTGGGAGCACGGCCAGCCACACGGAGCAGGAATCCACCAGAGCAGGAAGTCCCATCCCTAGAAGACGCCCATGCGACTGCCCAGGTCTGTGACCTGGAATTCTTAGTCACATACCAACCACCTGATGTCAGAATTCATTCCCGTCTGCCAGACAATTTCTAGCCAGTGTTTCTATGTCATCAGATACAGCTTGGAGCAAGAACTGTAGTCCAGATGAAATAAAGATACCTCCTTAAACAATAATACATTTCTTTTTCTAGGAAAATCATGGTGACTCATAGTAATGGCTTGTAAAAGGCTTAAATTCTTTACTGTCTCAACTTGTTGATTCCTCAGTGCCCACTTTGGGACAAGTTCAGTCTTAAGATATGGGTGAGGAGAGACTTGGATTAAAAAATATCCACAATATAAAGCAAAATATAATCTTCAAAAGACAAGAGCAGACACTATTTGGCACCAGCTTTAGACCTTCTTTTCCAAGTTTGTAAGCAAGCAGGCAGCTACTAACCCAGAGCGGTGCATACACTGGTGATAAATAAGATATTCAGCACACAGGTGAGGTGATCCTAACCTGCAGCAGCTCACACAGGTGACCTGATGCTAAGCTACAGAAGAGCATGCTGTGGGACCGAGCTCAGCTCTGAGGGCTGTAGCACACACTTCTCAGCGGAGAGCTCTCAGCAAGAAATTCAAGTTGTTAACTGGCTGTCATGGCCTATAGTCTCCAGTCTCCCCTAATGGAGTCAAGGGTCCATTAAGCTGTAAAACCAGTGCAATCAGTGTCATCTCCGGGGAGGTGTTACTAATTAGAGAACAACTTGTTGAATTAAATATTCAAACTTCTCTTACAATGAATTGATGCAGTGGCCAGGTCAGAGGGCATGACTGTCTCCCCTCTAAGCCCACAGTTCCTCAAAGATGCCTTCGGAAATATGTAGATATCCCATGGAAGAGATATTCTAATGACGTGGATGCCTTGGGCATAAATTCTTAATGTGACCCTGCTCCTTTTCAAGCTCTCGTGGTGCCCTTTTTGATGATAAATGGAAGTTGTTAAGGAAGATCCCAAGGTACATCCCGTGGGTACCAGCACTGTGACCATGCAGGTCAGGAGAATGCATAGGTGGGGCATGAGACGGTTTGTGGGTAACGGATGCATTGCTTCCTGAAACTGTGATCATTACTGCAGGCTCAGGGCTGCTGCATGATTCAGCTCCTAGACTTCACATTTGTAAGGGGGAAAATATCAAGACAAAAAGATTTCCACAATGCAATGCCTTTCTTTTGGAAAAATCTGAATGGCTTCAACTCGCAGGAGAGTCCTTCATTTGTGCACAGTGAAATAACCGTCTGCACTTGGGCAAGCGTTAGCACACTGACCTGAATTGTTTCAAACATCATGATCTGTCTGCTTCCCATGTCCTGCTGATCCTACTGGTAAAACTTCTGTTTCCATGTGTATGGGCAGTGTTCATATTATAAACTATTTTATGTCCCATGATATTTAGGGCAAGTCTCGCTGGTGGAGCCCACTCTTATCCATGTAGGATAAGTTGGTTCAGAGGGGAGGGGAGCATGTGGATAAGAGCTTTGGCCTGGCTGGCACAGCTCCGTGGTTGAGCATCGACCTATGAACCAGGAGGTCATGGTTAGACTCCCAGTTGTACATGCCCGGGTTGCAGGCTTGATTCCTAGCAGGAAGCGTGCAGGAGGCAGCTGGTCAATGATTCTCATCATTTATGTTTCTCTCTCTCTCTCCCTCTTCCTCTCTGAAATCAATAAAAATATATTTAAAAAAGAGAGAGAGAGAGATCCAGCTCTACGATAGCCAGCCCAGCTCCCAGGACAGCTGGGGCACTGCCACCAGGCTCAGCATCCAGCACATGGAGCTCCACTCTGTGAAAAATATCGCACAGGGCAAAGACAGGCCTTCGGCAACCTCCATGGTCTTAGAGGAGAAAACAAGGTATTGCTGGTTCTATCAGAAGATAGTCAGAATGGCTCTGTTTAATGAAAGGTACTTTGTTTATTTACTCCCCATTGAAATGAAATTCTCTCCACATGAGTGTTAGATAAGCACTGACATAAAATTCCCCAGCATGCCCTCAGGTCACTATTTTAGGCTGAGTCTGTTTAGTTGTAGGGTAGTGGCTGCATTTGGTTGCTCACCAGGCAACTTTCCAACGAGATAAACATAGCCTGGTATTGCCTAGTTTTAAAAAACCAAACAGAACAAGATCCCACATCTCTTGATAAAATGCATTTTGAAGGTGCATTCGTAAATTGAACTTAGCAGTATGTATTGAGCAGTCATTGGTAGTGCTATGGTGGATATACTGCTGAGAAAAGCATCGGTTCTGCATTTAGGATGCTTGCAGTCTAGCCAGGTCAGAAGACAAGCAGCTCATCTGACTGAGGCAACCAGGACAGGCTTCCTACCAGGTGGCTGTTGAGCTGTCCTTGGAACAGTTCAAACGAGCAAGAGGGCTTCTAAGTGTAAAAGTCCCCACCAGGTAGAGAACTTCAGGTAGAAAACTCCCCACCAGGTGGAGGGCCTCCCGCTGAAACAGTCCATGCTGCGCACATTCTGATGTTGCTAGGAAGGCAGCTCAGGGCTTCCATGAAAAAACCCTGGGAAGGTGTGGCGGCCTGACACCGAACAGGAACCACCAGGCCCCGCCAGGACAGTGAGCGCTCGAAGGCCTTAAGAAGACTGACATGGTGGCAGGATGATAGAAAGGCAGAGACTGCAGATGGAGACCTTGGGAAGCAGGAGCTGTGTGAGAGGACTGAACGGAAGGGGGAGGAAGAGACACTGGGGAGATAGGCTCTGCAGGCCTTGTAGTCAGCCTAAGGTGCCTGGGAGAGAAACAGGAACACGAGGAGCTGAGGAGTGATGTCACCTGCAGGGGGTGTGTGGAGCTGTGCGACCTATAGTTATTTCATCTATGTGTTGTTTTTTAAAAAAAGAAAACAGTTAAATCTTTAAAGCTCCTGAAGAATGTGAGCATCAGAATAAAACACAAGCACAAGGTATAATTTAAGACAACAAAGAAAAATAAATTTCTACCTGTATCAGATTTTACAATTACACTCATTCTCCTTCTTACTGAGTCAAAACTCAAAATTTCCAGCAATTCAAACCTGAAAAATAGATGAAAATTTGTCTTTAGTACCCATCTGGCTCTGTATGTCATAAAATCTGGGTATTTATCAGCCTTTCCACAGAGGAATGTCTGGAGCAGTCCTCATCCCACCACGCCCAGGCCTTTGAAAACGTCACCTCCATCCATGCCCCACCCCACCTCTGCCTGGAGGGCACCGCTGATAGCAGCTCTCTGGGGTTGGGGGGATGGGGGCAGGGAGAATCTGGAGGTAGGGCAGTTTCCTCCAGACACATGGGAATGTCTGGATTCATGTGACTGGTGATCTGCTCCACGCTGCTGCCACCAGTGCTCATCGGGGACAGAGGGCGGCTGAGGCCAGGCTCTCATCTCACCACTAGGATCCTGGTCTTGGATATCTGCCTCCCACCCCCAGCCTGCATTACAAGTGCTCAGGGAGTTTGTGCATCAAAAAAACTATCTATCTTATGTGCTGATTCACCTTCCTAAATTCTGTTGAACACAGATCCACAGGTTGTATTGGAGCTTTTGATCCCTGAGAATAAACCAGTGTCCTTTAAATTCATAAAAGTCATCAGAAGACTCATGATTTCTGTCTGGAGTTTGAAACTTTGAAAACAGCTAAGCCACCGCTGACATTACCTCTGAAAACTCCTTAGGGTCTAGAGACTCCAGCCAGTGGCTCAGAAGTGACTGTGAAACTTCTGTGCTGTCAATCCCCGCTCACAAGCTGAGGAAGGGGTTCAGAACTGGCCTCCCCAAGAGGTGCCACTTTGGCAGGTGGGTGGATTACTTTGAGCTGAAGACAATCCAGACCTTGCAGGCTCATGAGAACCTTCTACCTCTTTCTTAAATAATTTAAATTAGGGGCCTTGCCCATAATAAGAGCGATCACCAGCCCTGACCAGGTGGCTCAGTCGGTTGGAGTGTTGTACCATACACCAAAAGGTTGTGGGTTTGAATGTGAGTCAGGGCATATACAGGTGCAGAAAGGAGGCAACCAATCGATGTTTTTCTCACACACTGATATCTCTCTCTCTCTCTCTTTAAATCAATGAAAACAAAACAAGGATTTTAAAAAATAAGAGCTATCACCAGAAATAACTTTTTTTTATCTATCTCTATGGCAAGGTAAACATCTAGTTACTGAATACCTGCTCTTCTTATCATCCTGTGAATGAGCTCCCCTCTGAAGCCCCAAGGCAGGGGTGGGGAACCTTTTTTCTGCCAAGGTTATCCATAACCTCGTTCTCCAGCCATACAACATTATCAGCTTAAAAATTAGCCTGCTGTATTTGGTCAAACATTTAATTTACTCACGCCTAGTGCCTTGTAAAACAATTCTGTATTACATCACAATATAATGCACAATATTCTTACCTTTCAATGTAATTATCCCTATTTAATATCTCCATGTGGTTATCCTTTAGCCGTAGGTATGTAAAACCAAGTCTGTAGAGAAGGCAAACCCAGTGGTTAATTTGAAATTTTGATATTCCTCTTTCAATAAAATATTTCTGTTTTACATTCTGGTAAAGCTTTCTTTTCGAAAAAGAAATACTCCTGGTAAAACAGAGGAAGTAAACTGAATTATAAACTTAGGAAATTATAATATTGAACTTACCATCTCACAAAAATTCTCCAAGGACCAAATGAATTTCTGACTTACCCTCCTAAGCACCACAGTGGTGAGGCCCATTCTTACTGGTAGGTATTAACAGGTTTCAGAAAGACAGCAGGGGTGTGGACTGGTCCCTGGCTATACTGACCCAGTTTTACTCACTGATCAGTGGGGTTGTTCCATAGAGGTTACACGTCAGAATCAGAAGGACACTGAGAGACTGTCATTGTCCAGACCAGCTCTCACTTCACTGATGAGGACACTAGCTCTAGAGCAGGCTGCCAGGCAACAACGTCTGCAGAGCCCTTACTCTAACACCCTCCTCCTCCACCGCACACACGTGGAGCCATGGGCTGTTAGGCACCTGCCGGGAGTGGGGGCAGGAAGAGTGCGTGGCTAATGACACAGCATGGCGCCATAATGGTAGGAAGGCACCATGGGACCTCGGGGCCCCATCCCGGCAGGAGCTGGGGGGTTGGGGGGCAGCTGAAGGAAAGGCTTCTTGGAAGGTGAGTCTAGAATGACAGGCAGGAGCAGCCTGTCCTCACTTTTGATATCAATGACTGAATGTGGCTTAATTTCTGAACACACATTTTCCAAGAAGAGAGAAATCTAGCTTTGAGAAGTCTCCTATATGTACGTGTGGATTTATGCACTTAATAATTGACATGATTTACATACTTATGTCACTATTCAAACTGCATGGGAAACATACATTAGTTTAGTCAACAATAAAAACACTCTTCTAATTAGAGGAGAGGTGTTCAACACCCACTTATCAATGGCAGCAAAGCGGGAAAATTAGTACCATTTGTGTTAAATTTGAATTGTAAGCTGTGATCATTAGAAGAACATTTCCCCTGACTTGAAATTATGCCACATATCTGGAATATTTAAAGTACTTTTCCAAGTGTTTGCTTAAACGCTGTATGTCATGATAAAAAGATACTAACGGAGGGTGCAAGAAGCACACAGACTTAATATGATAGGATACAAAGATAGGGAAACTAACAGTAAAGAAAACCCCAGCACCCCAGCTTAATCCCTCTTCATGTTGTGTGACTTTGGGAAAAAGTTGCTTGACATCTCTGGGCATCAATTCTTTAGGATGGATGAGGAAGACTTTTCATGAGGGTGTCTAAGGTTGCTTGCATCATTAAAAGCTTGTGATTATTTGGAAAGGCCTCAAACCTTCTTACTGAAGAAGTGAGGAGGAAAAACTACCCATGTAAGACAGTGACAAACACTGGCAGCTGGGACCAAGCTGCTTCTCACGCTGACGGCAGGTTGTGGAGGTCAAGGGGACACTGAGGTGCCGGGGAGAATCTGCCCGTTGCAGATGACAAAGGCAGTATCTGCTCAGCTCACCCCTCAGTAGGCCCCCCAGGCACAGGGGCCTGACTCAAGACAGGTCCAATGTGAGTCCAGGAGGAGTACATTGTTGGGGTGGAAAAGAACTCCAGGACCAGCTCAGCCCACCCCTCACAGCTGAGACCAGACTCGCGTGCAGCCAGAGACGTACCTCTGGACACCCTCCACTAAGGCCACCTCGTCGGGCGAGGACGATATGTACACACAGGATTTCCCTGAGTCTGGTGACTTCCTGGGCCCGTCCACGTCATCGTCGTCCTTCACCTGGACGGTGTGGCACAGGCAGAGGGCCCGGAAAAACAGCTCTTCTCGCTCCTATAGAAATGCAGGACAGAAACGCACACATCTATGGCATATCGGCTTAAAGGAGGAGGAAACCAAACAGAAGACAATAAACAATAAAGCAGGACATGCAACTCTTAAGGGTTAGGGAGTATTAGTTTTGCCTCCGGTAGTCAGAAGGTGGAGTGTAACTGTGGCTTTTGTTCATTCTTGAGCACTTCCACGGTAGCTACGATCAAGACCAATGGGCTATGAAGACGGAAAGGAAATGAATGTAGTGAGAGGAGGTGACTGGTTCAAGTTCACAAGAGGAGAACACGGCTGGGCGGAGCCTTGGGCCATTGGAGGCTGCCATGCAGGGCTTCCAGGAGCCTGGGTTCCGTGGACTCTGCAGTCACCAAGCATTCCGGAATGGTCTCCTGACTGACCACAGCTGAGGGTCACGGCTGCCTCCTAGAAATGCTGAGATCTGAAGCCACCGCATTTGGTGTATGTGAGTGCATGTCTCTGTGTGTGTGAGTGCATTGTATGTGTGGTCTCTACCTGTGTGCACACATATGAGGATATGTGTGTGGGGTATATCTACATGTGCACAGTCTGTAAGTACATCATATATGCATGTGTGAGTATGGGGCATGGGTCTCTGTGTGCATGTCTATGTGCACATATGTGCATGCGAGCTCGCATGTGTATGCATGTGGGTTTGGGTGTGAGTGTGAGCACGTGTATAGTACAAGCACATGTGGTATGCAGGTCGCTTTGCTCACAGCTGACCGTTTTCCTGCTCATCCACATTTTTAAAGCTGTTCCTAACATGATGTGACTGGGCAGATTAACTGGTGGGAAATGTGGCATCTTACCATTCTTCTCGCTCAAGTCACTGGAAGATTGATGTCCTTCCTGGATCCCAGGCCAGAGGGGATACCAGGCTACCTTGTGAACTGAGACAATGTGACAGTGTTGGTGCAAAAGGTCAAACACCTACCCTGCCACTGACCCCCGGGGAGGAGTCGATCATGTCGATGCCGGTGGCGCCGGGGAGAACCTGCCCGTTGCAGATGACGTGCGGCACATAGACGTGGCCCTCGATGCAGCACTCCTTGAACTCCATGTTGTTCTCGGTGAGAGTCCCAGTCTTGTCTGTGAAGATGTACTCCACCTGCGGACAAAGGCGTGGCTGGGGTGCTGGCTAGGCCCCACACGCCCCTCTCCAAGGGGAGGAGGAGCGGCAGGCTGCCTCAGACCCCAGGCAGCTGTGATTCCTAACATCAGCGGTTTACCCCAAACCTGCCCCTTCACCAGGTACCTGACTTTTTTCAAAGTGAGGATCCACACTAACAATGAATATTTCACAATGTTCCCTCCTCTACAAGCCTCTCCACCGATCTCTGGAGCTCCTGTGTCATAAAGTCGTTCTTAGCCTTGCTCTGAGGCAGAATAACTTGCTGCACTGAACACGGCTCTCTGTTTATCTTGTTAGAGAAAAATATTTTTTCCTCCATGAATTTCTCCGGAATGTACAAAATACATCATTTACTATTGCAAAGGAAATGAACCCCATGGAGGTGAAGATATTCTAATACTGAACCACCAACTTATAATTTGCACATTGCTGACTGAGACAGTACTCCACGAGGGGTGTGGAGTGTCCCAGAGGAATGATTTGAAGGTCAAACTCATGAACAAGCAAAATATCATCTTTTAGTAACAAGTATCCTTGCCCTGAGGAGGTGAAGCAGTATGCAGCTATCAGCGTCTAACCATCTATTTTCAGACCAATGTTTTGGGGCACAAGGGAGTGGATTTCAGCTACTAGTTGAAAATAGCTGTTTATAAAAAAAACCTACTCAAAATTTCTTCCTGTAACAAAAATAACTTAGCATTTATCAAATGCTCTTTCATGCAACAAAAAGGCCGGGGAAAGGTTAGACTGGGGTAGTGGGAAGGCTCCCACTGAAGACCAGAGGACCAAGGCGAGGTCAGGGGGACAGGCCTCTCCCCAGTATGGGCTTCGACCCCCCATCCAGGCGATCCCGGGTGACAATGACTCCTGCCCGTGCAGTTCCATTAGACACTGTGATGGGTGCCTCATCTCATTCAATCCCCACTGCACTCTGGCAAGGCAGGTGCCTTCATTATGCCCATTTTACAGATTGAGAAGCTCAGTGTGCACAGTGCTCATGCCACCTGCACCAGGCCATGAAGTCATCAATATGGAGCAGGATTTCTATGTAGGGATTTTGAACCCTGCAATACATCCAGCTATTGAAACTCCCCAGGGTCCCACTTTGCTCGTCTTTAAAATGAGGACAACAGGCTCAGTGTCAGAACTGAAGGAAATCATGGATGAGAGCCCAGTGCAATGCCTATGAAGCAGGTACTCAATACACGTTACCTCACCTTTACCCCTTCACCTTGGTTCACAGCATGAACACCATTTAGGCTATGGATGAGCGTGTCTCATCCAGTTAATGTAATTAATTTTGCATAACTATAACTATAAAAGCACTACCAACTGTCATACAAGTTAAAAAAACACACAAACTAACAATTTTGTTGTTGTCTTTCCCTAGTACAGGTACTAATTAAAATGGAAAAGTTGTCATCTGGCCATCTGGATGATTTGCCTGCGTGATAGGAATCATTTAGAATCTAGATACCTGGGAACATAAAATGGAGGGACTCAGCCCTCACAAGATTATGAAACACTTCAGAAGACACTGACCTGTCCTAACTCTTCGTTTAAATCCGAGGTGTTGACCAGAGGCCCTTCGCCCATGTCCTCGTCAAACATTTCTTCATCCCAGGTGATGAAATACGAGCCAAGGAACTTCTGCATCTCCACCGTGACGTACATGGACACGGGGATGATGTAGTTGAACAGAACCATGAAGGCCAGGAAGTCCGTGAACGCCCTGAGAAACTGAGAGAACATTGCGTGATTTCCCACATCCTCACACCAACATCACAACTATTTAAAGCTTAGGCACAAATCACCCAAGCGCAGATTTTAAGTACAAGTATTTCAAATCCAAAGATACGGCTCATTCAGGGGCTGCAGCAGCCATTGGATGACTTGCCCTGTCACTTAATTTTGTGCTGCAATGGCCTCAGGCCAGCCAGGCCTCTGGGCTGAGGAGGGGGAAGGATTAAGTCACCTGTTAGACAGTCACTTTGCCAGGAGACAGGAAACCTCCCAGCTGAGAGCCAGAAGAAAACTTTACATTGGGAGTATCCCAAGTTTCCTTTGAGACTCTGACAAATGACCAACTGACTCTGTAATAACCCACAGATGCCAAAACATCAGTCTGATACAAAGATTTTTCTATATAGTCTGTTCTTATCTCTAAGCCATTTAGTTTTATGGAGGGCCCAATTAAACACAGGAAAGAAGTAGGGACCCTAGTCTGGATTTGCATAAATCCTAGTCTGGACTCAGTGGGCCCTGGTCTGGATTGGTTCCACACCTGCTCTGGACGCAGTGGGCCCTGGTCTGGGATTTGTTCCAGACCTGCTCTGGACGCAGTGGGCCCACTCCTGGTTGGAGTTTACACTCAGCTCTGGCCTGCACTGAGTAGATACTGGTCTGGATTTGCACACAACTCCACTCTATACTGAGTGGACACTGGTATAGAGTTGCACATGGCTCAGGTCTGGACTCACTGGGCCCAACCAGAAAACTATACTGTTTTAAGTAGAAAAGGTTCGATCAAATTATTTTAATATACTGGTTTTGGGCAAAATACTTATGATAAACATTTCTCATTTGAAAAATGAAAGTAATTCTTACCCTAGTTTCCATATAATTGTCTCTTTTTTGTCCACAGACATACCATAAGTAAGTACCATTTACTGCACAATTATTAATGAGCATTCACTGAGCATCCTCTAAGTATAGACACTGCTCTGGGTTCTGGAAACACCAAAAGCATTTAAGGCACATCCATATGAATGTACTATGGGAACTAATACCTTTCCAGACTTGGATATTCAAATCCAAAGAAAGCAAAAGCAACCAGTATCTGCAGCTAGAGAGGCAACCAATGCTTTCCATATCAGTGCATGCACTTATTATAAAGATTGGATCAACCGCAACTTCATCATGTTAACACATTTTCACAGCAGCCGCCCACAGGGCATTGTTGATCACTGCAAAGGAAGTCAGTGTCCATACCAGGTTCCTCTGTCTTTCTGCTTCGGTTTTCTGATTATACCACGGCTCATCTCGGGATGGTTCACTCTGCCACACGTACTTCAGGACAGTATTTATCAGCGCTTTGCTGATGAGAATGCAGAGGTACACTATGAGGAACACATTCATTGATCTAAAACACAAGAGGTAATGGTTACTTAGTCAGTGCTCCCTGAAGAATTGCGAGCTGCACACCTGTGTGTCGAGATGAACACATTGTGACAAAACAGATCAGGAATAAATGGCACAGCAATGAGTGCCCTTAGAAGACCCCTCTCCCAATCCATTGACAGTGAAAATAACGTACGCTCATTTCTGAGTCTCCTCCATGGCCACTGGCGTGTGATTCTAGACACCACAAGGGAAACAGCTCAGTAAAGGCAAGTTTTGTAAACAGGAGAGAGACTCCACACAACCGCGTTGCTGACCCAGGTCTCTGTATGGTCTAGGACTCTATCATTTAAAGAACATCCAGAAATAAATTTCTTCTACCTATAAGCATCAACCAATGAGTTCCGAATTTAGAGCAGACCACCAGGAAGGGAGGAGGGAAGGAGGGAAGTCAACAAAGAAAGAAATGCCCTCTGCGTCAGAATAACGTTCAATCTGTAGCCAAGGTCTCAGCAGACCTCATGAAGAAGAGGTGATTTTCCAAAACCTATTTCTGAAACCTATTTGTCAGTGTGACATCTGGAAACAAAGCGTTCTTGCTTAGGAGCCAAGTCTGCATTTTGGTATTTGATGAGGCCAGAGATAGACAGGGACCCAGGATCGCATTTCAAGACTGGCATTCTGAGAGGGGGCAGGAGGCACCGACAGTCTTCCCCCCAAACCTGAGAGTAGCACACATCTCTCTGTTAAAAAAATTGTAGCCGCTCAGTGGCCCACTTCAAGTTGAAGATACACTTTAACAAGAGGCAAAGACGGAAAAAATCTGGGCCACATTTTCTTACAAATTCAACTCTCTCCTTGACGTATTTTTACAAAGATTTTATGGTTTAATAAAAAGAAGACTCTGTTCTCCTCGCTAATGCTTTGCTCAGGAAAACATGTGGTTTCAACACCCCAAATTAAAAATGACCCAACTTTGACTTTTTCAGGAAATGATGCGAGGAACTGTTGGGCAACTGCAAATGACTTCAAACTGGGACTTTGGGGTGTCCGGGGTGTCCACATGAGGGAGCCACATGGGCTGCAGGTGTGTGACCATTCACCCCCCCCAAAGTAAGACAGTCGATCTAAGTAATCAGCTCCACTGTCCATCTAGACACCATGAAGGAATTGCTAATCAGGCCAAGAGAAAAGTGTTTTCATATCTACTGTGGTTTGGTCTCCTAAGTCACAGATTTTTACCCACTTCACACAATGGGGACTGAACCTTACTTTTCTACAGCGGATCGTTTCTGGGATTTTGATTGATAATTTAATGCCATCTTGGTTTCCATGCCCGTATAAATAGCAACACCTGTAAAGTAGAGAATAAATGTCAGAACAGTAACACAACTGTATTTGCCTTTACATAGTAAGTTACACACAGCTATGGTGAAAATGGAATTTGGGGTAAAGGGAATTATATTTTTTATTTCACTAGGCAAGCTAGTTGTTCATAAACAGAGTCACACAATAGGGTTCTTTAGACTAAAGAAGTACTTTAAAAAAAAATTTCCTGCAACAGAGAACAATCTGTATTTTTTATAAAGCTCACATTTTAATAATTTGGGTTTTCCCACAAAAAGGTACAGCAATTTTAATTAAAAATTTATTTTAATTAAAACATAAAAAATAACCCACACAGAAATGGGAGATACTAGTAAAGAAATAAAGTCACTAAAAAAATATTGTTACAAAATATACTGTGTGGATTCTTTCATGGATTAACTTTGTTTCTGAGTCAAAATCTGTAGGCACTTAATATATAAGCAATATCCTCAGATGTCACTGCTTTATGGATTGCAGTTATACATCAATACTGCTTTTCTTAGTGATGCAGAATTATTGCTGTCATCAAGTCTACAGTACTTCAAAGTACAGAAGATGCTTTCATGGTACCACTATTGTAATTACTTAACATACCCTTAACTTTAGAGGCTATGATTAATAATTCACTAATTAAAATATTTACCGAAGATTTTCTCAGTGTTCTTTAGTTTGGCTCCTCTAAGAAGCACGTTTTCCGATCCTAATGGCCTGTGAAGACAAGAATGACCAGAAACAGGGCAATGGAGAAACCACAGTGAGAGGCATGCTACAAGGTGAAAGTCAACTCACTTGCCTAACAGACTTCATTGTAAGAGGAAGTCGTTTTAAATGTAGATTTGCTTATATTCGTATATGTGCTGCCGAAGCGAGCACGAGATTTGCTTATATTCGGATGAGAAAAGTCAGCCTGGGTCCATGGAACAGTGTGTGTGACCCTTGCCTGCCGGAGGTTAAGAACCGGCTCTGCTGGAAGAATTTTGCGGAGTTCTAGCTCCGAGGGCACCTGCTCTCCTGGTGCAGCACATGTCAGCAGGCTCCCAGACCTACCGAGCCAGGTCTGAACATTTTAACAACATTCCATTAGCGATCGCTTGTGGGGGTGGTGGGCTGACAAGTGGGGTCCCTGCACCAGTGCCATCAGCAGCACCGGACAACTTGCCTGAAGAGTCACCTCGAAAGACTGAATCAGAAACCTGCTCCTAACAGGTATCAGGTTTCAGGACCCCTGGACAGGAGGACCCCCAAATGTTCTGGAAAAGTGAAAGGGTCCTCTGAGTCATGTGGCATCAAGCCACTTCTATCACGTCCTGTGTCTATCACTCAGTGTGTCTCATGGAATACAATCACACTTTAAAGGTGAGGGCTGGTGCCTATCAGTAAATGAATAGATTAAAAAGCTGTGGGACATTTACATTACGGAATACTATGCAGCTGTAAAAAAGAGGGATCTCTTAGCCTTTGGGACAGCATGGATGGATCTGGAAAATATTATGCTAAGTGAAATAAGCCAATCTGAGAAAGATAAATATCACATGAGCTCACTTATTTTTGGAATCTAATGAACACAATGAATTGACCAACAAAATAAGACCTGAAGCATGAGGCATGGAACAGACCGACATACCTCGATGTGGGGTTGGGGGGATGAGAAGAGATAAACCAAAGAACTTATATATTTATAGGCATAGCCCATGGATATGAGCAATAGGGTAGTGAAGACCTGGGGGGGGCGGGGATAGGGACTAGGAGGAGAGGGGTAAAGGGGGGGGGGGAATGGGATATATCTGTAATACTATCAACAATAAAAATATATTAAAAAATAAATAAAGGCAAAGACTGGGATACTCTGCGTGCCTTTATAAACACTGGCAGTCAAGTCCACAAAGCCCTCTACATGCAGGTGGCTATAAATCTGGAACAATCCATGCATTTGCTACTTTGGGGAGAAACGGGCAACAACCAAGGAATTTAAAAAGCGAGCATTAAGAACAAGCACTGCCCTACACTCAACACTCAACAGGGAGCGACGGACGGCATCTCTGCCTCCCGGAGGTTCACATTCGAGCAGTTCCCCTTGTTGATGGAGTAATCGTTTCTTCTCATTTCCCAAGAGGAAAAGGGAAGCATGAAGCAGAATTCAACTTTACACAGTTTGCTACTGTCAGCATTCTCATCATTTTCTTTGGAAGGGAAAGAGTTGGAAGCATTTGCTGAAGTTTGCTTTTTACTCCATCAGTGTCTTTAATTTCCTTTAACCATGGAATGTTGAGAACCTAGTGAATGCTATACACCTCAAATGTGTGCAGTGTATTTAGCTGATACAGCTCAGGACTGCGTCCAGCTGAAGACGAGAAAGAGGGGGCTGCTGAGAGGGAAGAGTTGGCTGGGACACACTTGACCTGACCTGTCTGCCCAGGGCTGCCCGAGGGTCTCAGACACTCGCCCCTCAGCCTGGCAGCCACCTTGAGAGCCTCCAGGGCCGCGTACTTGCTGCGGTCTTGACGGCTGTGTTAGAAGCACTGTCGGCCTCTGTGAGCTATGCTAACAATAATTCACGTGGAGCATGCTCATGAAAACAAATGGCCCCTTTAAAAAGTGGCTCTGGGAAGTCTAAAAATAATTTACTTTAAAAAGTACTTTGCTTCCAGTTTGGACAGGAGGATGAAGAAATATGACCCTGAGTGGATTAAGAATTTAGATATATAATTCATAACTGTCCACACCACAAACTTATAAACATCTTTAAGTACCCAAATATTAAGTCTGCTGAATAGTATAGTACATAAAAAGCTAAACTAGAATTGCTATCAAAATACAAAATGGATTAGTAATTATCTTCCCAAGATGCTCGGCATTAAACTTCGTCTAAACAGAAAGCATGAAAAGCCTGCAGTGTTTACTTTGTCTGATTCATTACATCAGCAATATGAATAAATAGTAATCTATTACTTGTTCAAACAGTAATTCTCACAAGACACAGAAATACAGGTCACTTTTCCAAACTAACTAGGAATTAGCTGTAGACTAGTATCTATTTAGGAAAGATCGAGCAATGCCTTCATCAATTCTGATAACTGGCCTGGCCAGTTTGGCTCAGTGGGAAGAGCGTCTGCCTGTGGACGGAGGGGTCCCAGATTCGATTCCGGTCGGGGGCACATGCCTGGGTTGCGGGTTCAATTCCCAGTGTGGGAGTTGCAGGAGGCAGCCAATCAATGATTCTCACTCATCATCGATGTTTCTCTCTCTCTCTCCTTCTCCATTCCTCTCTGAGGTCAATAAAAATATATTTTTAAAAAAATTCTGAAAGCTACCAATTAGCCAGCTGATAAATAATGATGAAAACATGCTAAGAAGTGCACAAATTATTTCCTTTAAACAAATAGTTTCAGGAGCTTATAAGGAGATAAGCCCCAACGAATTATATTTCAGTAACTTATTATTTTGTGGCAGTTTCCCATTGAGTTTATTTCTACTTATGAGCAACTTTTTAAAAAAAAATACACAAAGTGCCCTGACCGGTTTGGCTCAGCGGATAGAGCGTTGGCCTAAGGACTGAGGGGTCCCGGATTCGATTCTGGTCAAGGGCATGTACCTTGGTTGCGGGCACATCCCCAGTGGGGAGTGTGCAGGAGGCAGCTGATCGATGTTTCTCTCTCATCGATGTTTCTAACTCTCTATCCCTCTCCCTTCCTCTCCGTAAAAAAATCAATAAAAAAAAAAAAATACACAAAGTACTACCAGCATATTAGCAACTTGGAGACTGCTTAAATCCGGGAAGGGGGGGGCGGGGGCGGGAATAATTTCTCTAACAGGTGAGATTTATAAAAAAGGTCAACTCCTAACCCACTTAAAGTCAATTTCCTAAACTGTAGATCTCGAATACCTTAGCACCAATGAACTGCCAGGATCCTGAAACAATGTCCAGATAAAACATCCACAGGCCTGAGGAGCAGACACAATACAGACCCAGAGAGATGTGGGCTGGATGTTAACATCACACTCGTCCTGACCACAGGCGGTGAGCACACCCACCTGTGACCCACACAGGCCTCAGCAATGCCCGGCAACAGGTGGATGTGAGCCTGAGACAGGCCCTTGTGAGGCACATCCCCTTAAGTCAGCGGTTCTCAACCTGTGGGTCGCAACCCCTTTGGGGGTCGAACCACCCTTTCACAGGGGTCGCCTAAGACCATTGGAAAACACATATATAATTACATATTGTTTTTGTGATTAATCACTTTGCTTTAATTATGTTCAATTTGTAACAATGAAAACATAACCTGCATATCAGATATTTACATTACGATTCATAACAGTAGCAAAATTACAGTTATAAGTAGCAACAAAAATAATTTTATGGTTGGGGGTCACCACAACATGAGGAACTGTATTAAAGGGTCGCGGCATTAGGAAGGTTGAGAACCACTGCCTTAAGTCTAGATGAAATCCAGAGCCAAACTGGCTAGGGCTGAAAAGGACTTTCTAATGGGAGAAACTGCACCCTCTCCTCTGCCTGGGAACTGTTAGATGGGCTCCTGACCCTTCCGGGCTGTGACACCCTCAGCAGAGTCTTGTGAGAGAACATTTCCCATGAGCGTCGTTCATTTGTTCACACATATAGCTGTATACTCAAGAGAAATCTGAAAACACTAGAACCTAGACTTCTGGAAACGCCTAATTCTACTTTCAAAACCCAATAGAACAACACTAAAAAACTCTTATCAGTAAAAAAAAAATGCACTTGTAATTTAAAAGTAAAGAGATGAAAGTCTCCAAATTTGTTTAAGAGAAGCACATCGCCTCACCTCACCACGGGGTCATTCTGATCATTGTAAATATTTATTCGGCCCACAAACCTGGCAACAGAAAAGTCAGGTTAGTGGCACAGCAGCAACACGGGGGTGGGGGACCCTGCGGGGAAGAGGCAGACCGGAAGTGCCCTGGCTTACACACCTGCCTTCCTGTTTCTACGAAAGGAGGAATGTGCGCTCACTACCTGGGATTCTTTACCCAAAAGCACATCTGTGTGTAGCTAAACCACTCTACCTTCCCCCTCTTTCTTAGTTTACTTTCTGTTCTTATTAACCCAGGACTTAAATGATTTTCCTTAAAATCACTACCTCAAAGTAGAAAAAATTATTTTTTCTGCAACAAATTTAGTTTCATTAAGCCACTTCTAATGTTTGCATAAGTAGCTATAGATTTAAATGTTGTCGGACTCTGAAAATATATAAGTAACCTATTTTTAACTCAGTCTTAACTTTAAAGCAGTGATTGACGTTCTCTTTCCAAACCCCCAGGCCACTAGACTATTTGGGGTGAAGAGCAAGAACAGCATTTAGGCGATAAAGAGACACTCGTGGGGAGCACAGATCTCACCTGTAGAGGTCGGGCTGGGGCTGCTCGCACTCAATGGTAGCATGGAGGCCATCTATCTCTTCTTCTGTTTGAAATCCCTTTGTGTCCTGAACTGCATAATGTGTCTGCAGATGGACAAGAAATGTGAATTCACAACAAAATGAACAACACAAACCTGGCAGCCAATGCCTCCAATCCCAGGGCAGCATTGACGACCAATTTTTTGTGCATATAAATAAGAGCGATGACAATGCCTGGCTAGCATATGAGAGAAGTATAATAAAGAGTTTGAAAACATTAAAAGTTATAGATTTATAGATTACTGCTGTTTTTCTTATATCTATTAGGTGCCAGAAAGTTCTTCCATTCTTACCCAGTTTTCTCAACTTAAAACTAAGAGCAGTGTTGGGAATTCTTCTTCAAAATTAGACACCTCGATTTATCTGTCATGGCGGTGACTATCAATTAGGAAACAAATTTAAGAGCTAAAATATTCCTTTTTGTTTATATAACATCCTATTGATTATAGCAGGGGTGGGGAAGCTTTTTTCTGCCAAGGGCCATTTGAATATTTATAACAACGTTCACTGAATATAAATTTATGTTGCTATGAAAAAAGCTCCTAGATTTATTGCATTTCGAGTCCCGCCTGGGGTTGCCTAGGCAGGGCCAGACCAAATGACTTCACGGGCCTCATGTGACCCTCGGGAAACGTTCCCCACCCCTGGCTTACAGAGAGCTGTCATCAGCATCAGGAACTGCCCTCGCCTGACACAAGGGAATGTAAGCTTTCTGCATAGCTACTCACTTGCCCCCGGCCCCCTACTCACTTGGCTCCTCGAACCTGAATGTTCATCAGAATCGCCACAGAGGGCTTGTAAGGCACTGACTCCTGGACCCCACCAGGGATCATGTTAGAAATGCAATTCTCAGGCCCCATCCCAGCTTTCTGATGCCAAGGGTCTGGAGTGGGGCCCGAGGCCTGCATTTCTAACATGATCCTACATGATGCCTAAGCTGCTGGGCTGAGACCCCGTTTGGAGACCATGGGGCCAGATGGTATTAGTAAGCATGGACAGACAGGTGGGCTCGCCTTGGGAGGAGAGAGGAAAGAAACACTCGTGCATGAGGGCCTGGTGAAGGAGAACACACCGCTACGTCTCCTCTTATCTGTCTCTCTAATGATCAAGTGCTAGACACATAAAATGTTCAATAAATCAAAACTAACAGGAGATATGATCACGGCAACCGCAGCAGGATTTGTAACATTTCAGGGCATTTATTGTGTATCGAACACTTCGGGAAATTTTCTAGTTATGTCTCACAGGCGCCCCTAGAAGACAGGTTTGTCCCTGTTTTATGGATGTGGAAACTCCAGGGAGGCCAGGTGTCTGCCACGGTCATGAGTAATGAATGTGACCAGTGCAGGAGTCCCACTCTCCACTCTCCTTTTAAGCAAAGGGCTCAGATCTAGCCAGCCACCCAAGCCAAACCCAATGCACAGAAATGACGCCGGAGGGCACACATTCAAGATGCTGAGTACACCACGCCAAAGGTCAAAGTAAAATGTGGACTCGAATATCAGCAGTTCTGGACGGCTATGAAATTTTACCTGAGAAGAGTGATACACCTGGAGCCCTGCAGCATCTGTTCACAGCGATGCTGAGACCTCTGTGAACAGCCACATCCCTCCCGGGCGAGGGGTGGAGCAGGCAGCCCACTGCCCACAGTGAGGGTGTGGGTGGCTCACTTGTTTTGTTTATTTATTACAGTGTATTCATCCAGCACTTGATTATTAGAGAGGAAGACACGAGGAGAGTTAGAGGTGTTTCCTGTCAGAAAGGACCGGTACATAAACTCCTCACACTCCAGAGACTGGTGGCAGGTTACAATAAACACCTGAAACCCAACCCCAGGGATTTCCATTCCCAGAATCACTGTTGCTCACAACGGCTTGTGCCAGAAAGTCAACTCCGTTGGGATGTGCTACGTAGAAAATGTGAAAGTAAATGCCGAGAAACCCCACAGAGCTTTGTACAATGATACCATGAATTATCCTTAAAAGATCAGCATAGTCTTTTAGGGTTTTGCAAAAAAAAAAAAAAAAAAAAAAAAAAAAAATTCTCTTTCTCATCCTAGAAATTGCCTATATTCATAGGTATCGTTTAAGCATTGTGTTAGAGTTGCAATTTTGTGACCTAATGCCTTGGTTCCGTTGAGATATACTCACTCTTATAAACTCCTTTGAAGCTTCCAGATTTTTTAAATAATGAAAACCTTAAAATTAATAGTGATATGTTCTATTCTCTCGTGATTGTTAATTAAAATTTGTAGCATCAGCTACCAGTACAGAATTCCATACTGAATGTAAGAAATTAATTATAACCTCAGATATTTATTTAAATATTTTAACAAAAAGACACTCATTGAAGTAACAGTGAGTGCGGCAAAAATCTAGACTCGTGTGGGACTTTTCACATAATTCCAGGGTAGTAAAGACACTAATTCTGATTGGTGAAATGAAAACTTTCAAAATTTCAGCAATCAATTCATTACATCCTTTGGTACCTCTGCTATAGGACACAACTACATAAATAACATGAAGTTATTTCTGTTAACTCAATGGCTGGATGTTATGAATACCGAGGGTGGAAAGAAAAAAGCAGAAAACAGAAAGAAACAAAAGTCAAAAAACAATCTGGCCAGCACAAGTCCCTGGGTTTCCACTGAAAACTGGATTTCCAAACGTGATGTAGCTTCTAGCCCCGCAAGCACAGCTGGGGAAGGAAGGGGAGGCTGCACAGGATCTCCAACAAAAGGCACGTTACTTTGTGACTCGACTCTCCATCTAAGCTGGTGGTTGTCACGTGGCAGGTCCCGTCTCCCCGGCTGCTGGACAGGAAGATCAAGTCACAGGGGAAGGACTCATCCTCCTTGACCATGACGATGTCCCCGACCTGCAGGACAGACAGACAGACAGACAGTGACATCAAATGAACTCTGCCACTGTGCAGCAAGATTTCCTTTTTCCTAATGTGCCAGTCGATACTCACAGATACCATTATGGTGTTTGTTTACCGGAGGATATATGGATGCTAATGTGACTCTAGAGAAAGATCATTTCCCAGGCATTTTGCCCAAACGGAGGACAGACCAGGTGAGGTTTCAATGTACCAATTTTAGATCTGAGAAGCATCAAAGTGCATTACGATTGAGTATTTTGCAATGGAAACACAAACATCCATAACAGGATTATCCTTGATTCAGCCCAAAAGGATGAGTTCTAGTGTTTCATTAATGGGTCCAAGTGGGAATTATCCTTGGAGGAAGGCGCTGACTTAAAACAAAGTGTCCCATAAACCAGGTAGGAGAGTTCTAAACGCTGGCTGAACAACAGAACCAAGACACTGTCCAGATCAGTCAAGCAGGACTAAAAACGCAGAAGTGGCAATCACCTTAAAAAAACTAGAGCAAAAAAGAGCCACAGAACGTCTGTCATACGGATTTTTAAATAAGATGAAACATCCCACTTTTTGTGTCATCACCAACCAAGACATCTAAATGACCTCCCAGAAAGGCGCCTTTTCTCAGATTGTGACTTCAGACTTTGTGTCAGGAAGGCAAATGACCATTAAAATCAAGGCGACTAGCCAGAGGGTTCAAATCCTTCCAAGCGCCTGGATGTTCCTGCTGCCACTGCAGGTGCTTCCAGAATCAGGACATCAGCGTGCTTCTGCCTGCACTGTAAGTGCAGTTCCCTGTCACACTCCATTACTGCCCCAACTGAGTGTCTGAGAACTTCACATTGGAGGGTTATTCCTCAAATAGACCTTTGTGTTCAGTGAAATCCCTATAGAAAATCCCAGCAAAGATTTTCGTAGACACAGATGGGCTTATGCTAAAAGTTACGTGGAAAGGTGTAGGCCTAGAATAGCTACAACAATCCTGATCAAGAGGAATGAAGCGGGGGAGTCACCCTGCCGATGTGAAGGCTTTCTATGCAGCTGTAGTAGCCAGGATGTGCTGGTACTGGCAGAGGACTGGCACAAAGAGCAATGAAACAGAACAGAGCACAGTGAGACTGAGCCACACAAATAGCTTCCAACTAACTAACTTCAACAAAAGTCCAAAAACAATTCAATGGAGAAGGAACAGCCTTTCCGTCAAATGATAGTAGAACAATTGGGCAATGATAGGCAAAAAAAAAAAAAAAAAAAAAAAAAAAAAAGGAAACTTTGCCCTAAACCTCACATTTTATGTGAAAATTAATTCCAAATGGAGTATGAATTTAAATGTAAAACATAAAACTGTTAGAAAAAAGTGCAGAACATCTGTGGGCTCCAAGTTAGGCAAAGAGCTCTTAATCGTTTTTAAATAATATATTTTTATTGATTTTTAGAAAGACAGGAAGGGAGAGAGATAGAGAGATAGAAACATTGGTAAGAGAGAAATATTATCTATCAGTTGCCTCCTGCATGCCCTGCTCTAGGGATGGAGCAGGCAACCCAGGCATGTGCCCTGATAGGGAATTGAACCAACAACCTCTTGGTTCTTGGGTTGACACTCAACCGCTGAGCAACACCGACCGGGCCAGAGCTCTTAATCTTGACACTAAAAGCATGATCCATAAAAGGGAAAAAAAATCAATAAATTGGACTTCATCAAAATTTTATTTTTATTTTTTTTAATATATTTTATTGATTTTTTACAGAGAGGAAGGGAGAGGGATAGTTAGAAACATCCATGAGAGAAACATCGACCAGCTGCCTCCTGCACACCCCCTACTGGGGATGTGCCCGCAACTAAGGTACATGCCCTTGACCGGAATCGAACCTGGGACCCTTCAGTCCGCAGGCCGACGCTCTATCCACTGAGTCAAACCAGTTGGGGCCTTCATCAAAATTTTAAAACTTTGCTTTGTGAATGCCCCATTAAGGGATTTCTGACAAAGGACTAATATTTATAATATATAAATTTTCAAAATGCATCAGTAAAAACTAGAAAATAAGTAAAAGACATAAAGAATTGTTGTTGCTTTTTCCCCACAGAAGAGGATACACAGATGGCAAATAAGCACATGGGAAGATATTCAACATGGTCAGCCAATAGGGAGATGCAAATTTAAACCTCACTGAGATATCAGAATGACTAAACTGAAAAATAGTGCCAACACCAAATGCTGGTGAGAATGTGGAGAAACTGGATCTCTCACACATTGCTAATAGGAATGGAAAATTGCCCAGCACTCTGGGAAATTGTTTGGCAATTCCTCTTAAAATTAAAAATGGATTTGCTCTGTAACCCAACAATTCAACTCGAGCTGTTATGCCAGAGAAATGGAAATTTTATTCATACCAAAACCTGCATACAAGTATTCATAGCAGCTTTATTCATAATAGCCCAAACTGGAAAAGATGCACTAGTAAATTTCCTTCAGTTGTTGAATGCAAGCAAACTCTGGTCTAATCCACACCATGGTCTCATCAATAAAAGGAAGGAGCTACCGATACAAACAACAAGGGTGAAATCAAGGGAATGAGACTGAGTGAAAAAAGCCAGTCCCAAAAGGTTTGTGACTGTGCGATTCCATTTATGTAATGACATTCTTGAAATTATAGAGATGGACAAATTAAAGGTTCCTTTTCTAATAGCCTGGCGCAGCCTCTGAGGGCCCGAGCCATTATGGCCAATGAAAGATGATGCCTAGAGTCACAAAGGATGCCTGATTGTTCTTCCTAGTCTCACAGTCGATTGAGAATCCTCTGATTTGCACAGGCTGGATACAGAGCAGACATTTCTCACAGGAGATCAATGCACTAAAAATTCAATTTTCTGCTGGTGCACAGGGCTTAGGTATGTTTTTAAAGAAAGAGATGTTTATTAAAGAGATGTTTATAACAAATTGCCAGTTATAAAAATCGTCACAGGGATCTAAAGTAAACCATAGGGAATACATATATATACACAAATATACATATACATATACATATACATATACATATACATATACATATACATATACATGTCTAATATGCAAAGTGTCCCCAGGGGAGTTCGACTGGGAGTTCTATCACTCACTATGATGTGCGCTGACCACCAGGGGGTGACGCAGAACGAAGAAAGGCCCCGGCTGGCAGCTGGTAGCTGGGGAAGGGAGGCCCCGATTGGCCTGATTGCCGGCCAGGCCCAGGGACCCTACCCATGCACGAATTTCGTGCCCCGGGCCTCTAGTAGTCAATAATATTGTATAGGCTTATTGGGGTGATCAATCTGCAAGCTAAATGAATGTCATGCACCTGAAACTAATATTGTATATTAATTGTAATTGAAAAATAGTTTAATAGAAAAAAGTTCAGAAGACTTTGCAAGGGAAATAGAGTTGTTCAAGGAAATTGCATTTAGGGCCTGGGGTCTAAAGGAACCTGTTAACACTGTTCCCATGGCTGTGAGGCCCTGCTCCCAGACCCTCACCTCTCTGACCCCATGACCACTAGAAAAATATCATCAATAGAGACTAACTGAATTCAAATTACTAAAACACATGGACAGTAAAATTTATAAGGCAAAGAAAATACAGCCCTGGCCAGTTGAGTGTTGTCCCATGTACCAAAAGGTTGCCAGTTCCATTCCCAGTCAGGGCACATGCCCAGGTTGTGGGTTTGACCTTGGTCAGGGTGCGTACAGGAGAAAGCTGATTGATGTTTCTCTCTCACATCAATGTTTCTCTTTCTCTCTCTCCCTCTTCCTTCCTCTCTCTCTCTTTCTCTCTCTCTCTCTCAAATCCATAAAAACATATTTTAAAAAATACATACAATAGTGGGTATAATACACATAACAAAGGTGGACCCCATGCCAATGACATGTGAACAGGCCTCCTGATGTGTTCTTGTATCCTGGACTCGGCCCTTTTCCAAACACCACGACCCCCAAGCTGACTGGGCTATCCCTCTTCAGGGCTGTGCCTGGAAGTGGAGGCCCACTTTCCTGTCACTTTGCATGAAAGCTGGCAACGATCCTTTTCTGCAACTTCCTGAGAACCCCACCACGACTTCTGGCCAGGAAAGCAGCCCAGAGAGCCAGTGGAGCTGTCAAGCAAGGAGGGAAAGAGGGTGGAGGAGAGGCCTGGGCGGAGCTACAAGGACAGGAGAAGGTAACAGGAGGTTCACAGCTAAACAAGACTCCAGGACAAACTGTAAAAATTATACTAGTACTTATCGTTTGTACACATATAGGTGCTCTAAACAGATGTAAGTTTGAATGCAATCCACTTCAGTCAAACACACATTTAAAGATAAAAAATTACATGTTACATTAACAATTCATTGGAGAAAAAATTAAAATAAAACTTTCAGTGAGGTTTCAGACTCAATTTCCATAATTTCTAACTAGTGAAGATCATAGTCACATGAACTTTGGGATGTTCTAAATCAGATTTTCTAAAAGTGTTTAAAGCTTTCCTTGTCTTGACTGGTTAGTAAATATGATCCAGCGATTTTCAACTGGTGAGCCGCAAGAATTTTGAAAACATGCAACACCTATTTTATTTAGTCAGGGGCACTGACCTCTCTTCCCTTAGGTTGTCAAATAAAAAATGACAACAGCCAACACAACAATAGCCACCTGGTGAGAATGAATCAAAATTATACCTATATTTTTTTGTCAGATCAGCAAAAAATATATTTTTGGTGTGCCACAGAATTTTAGTAATTGCAAAAGGTTGAAAATCACTGGTATCTATAATAATAAAAAGGGTAATATGCTAATTAGACTGGATGTCTTCCAGACATCATTCCGAATGTCCTTCCTGACGAAGCTGGGGCCAAAGGGAAGACAGCCTGGGTCCTAGGTGCCTGCCAGCAGCCGGAGGAGGGAAGCCGGTGCCAGCAGCCGGGGGAAGGAAGGCCTACTCTTGCACGAATTTTTGTGCATCGGGCCTCTAGTAATCTCATAAACTTCAAGTAACCCTGTTGGGGCTACTGACAGTGGGAGAGGCTGTTGGGGGTTGAGGATGGAGGACAAGGTGTATATTGGAAATTTCTGTACCTTCTGTTCAATTTTGCTGTGAACCTAGTGAAGTTCATGTTAACACACTGTATGCGGGAAACGTATTTATACGTTTTACGTTGACTGTAAATAGTAGAGCCACCTGTTAGCGCTCAATAAAAACTACCCGCAAACAATGTGTTAATAAGAATTTGCCTTGTTCTAAAACAGGGTTTCTAAGAGTGTTTAGAGCTTTCCTTATCTTGACTGGTAAGTGATTATGATCCTGCTCTAAAAGTTGTTTATTAAAACTTTAAAAACAAATAAGTTAAAAAAAAGAAAGTAGTGATAGGAGTTTGCTTGAAATATTAGGGGAAGAGGTTGGGCCTATCCTATATAACAAAAGCCTAATATACTAAGTGTCTGGTCGTCCAGTCAACCAATCAAAGCGTAATATGCTAATGATATGCTAAGGCTGCTCAACTGCTCACTATGACATGCATTGACCACCAGGGGGCAGACAGTCGACCAGCTGCTAAGACGTGCACTGACCACCAAGAGGGCAGTCGCTCCAACCAGTAGGTGAGCTTGCTGCTGGGGTCTGGCTGATAGGGACTGAGCAAGACAGGCTGGACACACCCTGGAACCCTCCCGCGGTCCCTCCCTGGCTGGCCAACCTCCTGTGTCCCTCCCTGGCCCTGATCACGCACCGGTGGAGTTCCTCGGCCTGACCTGCACCCTCTCGCAATCCCGGACCCCTCGGGGGATGTCACAGAGCAGGTTTCCTCCTGATCCCGCAGGCCAGGCCGAGGGACCCCAGTGGTGCACAAATTCGTGCACTGGGCCTCTGGTACCTAATAAAAACACCTGTTACACTCTTATTGTTGTTTTAAGTTGTTATTGGCTTTACTCCAATTAAGAGTGTCAGTTATTACTTACTCTCAGCTTTCGGCTCTGCTTCCGAACCAGCTTGCCATGCTGGATGAAATGAACAGGGCACTGGTTTATGGCATTATCTGCTTTATGGCGAAGCCAGTCTTCATAGCCCTGAAAAAAAAGAGAAAAAATTCCATGTGACAAGTGAGAGAAACATGGAGGATCTCTCAGCTCTAGGCCAATCCTTTTGGACTTCGTTGCGATGGGCCATGACAGTGAGTACGGTACAGCCAGCCTTGGCCCACTGCACAAGTGAGGTGGCCAGGAGCCCTGGGGCCCTCGAGCTCCCAGCTGTGTCCATGAGAAGGACAAATGTGGCCTCAGAACCACCAGAAATCACCTTTTATTTTCCTTGACCTCAAATCCAAAACACACCTATTGGCAAATCCTGGCATTTTCCCCTCAAATGGATCCTAAATCTTCCATTTCTTCATGTCCTCTGGCCATCATGCTGGTCAAGGTCCCAGCCTTCTTGGACCCTAGAAGAAGGGCCCTCCCAAACTGAACAGGGACATGACTGGCCCTGTCACTGCTGGGAGCCCCAGCTCTACACCATCTAATGGGGCTTTCCCAAACTTTCTCCCATCTAGACATGTATGGAACGGCCATTCTCGAGTACCCTGTGGTGACACACCAGGTGGCTCAAGCAGGGCCCTGGTTTGGGGCCCCAGAGGGGCCAGGGCCTGCTCACGGCTGAGGTCTGGGGCAGAGTCTTCTGGTTCCCCTTCTATTGCACTCGCCTGGTTCCTAGTCCAAGTGTATGTATCAGAGAAGCCCCTGCCAATGACACTGTTATGCTCTAGAGTGCACATGTGGGCTTATGTGTATACATGCATGTGCATGTGTGTGTGCACAGGTGCATGTACACATGGCTTCTTGGTGTCTGTCTCCCTCACTGGAATGTCTTTTGTTCAGCAACATCAGCTCTAGGGCCTACAAAAAGACTCACTACATGAAAGAAGCTCAATCAATATCTGTAGAATAAATGAGTATGTATAATACATAAAATTAGAAAAGAAAAATATTTTTAACCATATGCCTGGATCATGCTACACCCAGGGTCTTCTGCCTGATTTGCTACTCTCCACTCTGCCACTCAGGGCAGGAGAATGCATTTTTTAAAACAAAATCAAGACATAAATAAAAGAATAAAAATAACTTCCCCAAATTAGTTTTTACCATTTATATTACAAAAGTATTATGCGGTTTGAGGACCAAAAATAAGAAATACGTACATAAATCACTCCTCCAAAAAAATAAACTAAAAATGTCCTATTCCTATCACTCCACAAAAACTATTAATCCATAAATTATTACTACATCAATATAATTATATAGAAATACTAGAGGCCCAATGCATGAAATTCATGCAAGGGGCTTGGCCCTCGCAGCCATGGTGGCTGCCTTGGCCCTCGCAGCCCCACCTTTGTCCAGCTGTCTGGTCTAATTAGCATATTACGCTTTTATTATTATAGATAATTCTAGCCTAAGGGGGTATAGTTTTTTAAAATTAGAATCACACTGCACTTACTATACAACTTGTACCCTCGATATATCATGGGCATTTTCCCATGGCAATCTGAATTATAGTTATAGATATAATTCTGATAAACATCTTTACAATTGTATTTTTGCGCATATCCATTACATTATATATTCTTAGTACAGATTCCTAAAAAGAAAATGTCTGAGTCAAAAGACAAATAAGACTTTTAGGCTTTTAATATGAACTGAACAAAAGTCCTCAAGAAACTTGGCACCAATTATATTTCCAACGTCTGAACTTAAATATTCTACCTTGAAGAGGATATGTCAGCATACTCACGCACATATGCATTTTATTGATTGGAACAAACGTTGGAAGCTACTAATACCAGCTATTCCTATGTCAGCTCAGACACCAGCTCAAGCATTGACAAAGCAGCCTGACCTAATTCTCCTAACTAACAACTCTGCTAAATTCTTTTGTTCTTAAATAGGCACAATTTCAAATTCTTTCCCCAGTAGAAGAAAACACACACTTTGCAAACAAGAGTTTGGTGTTTTCTGGATTAACATGCCTTCTGAGTTGGGTTTCACTGAATGTGGAAAGTGCGTTTAAGGATGATGAATTACTTCTTCTCTGTACTATTTCCCAGCACATGAAAGGGAAACCAGGCACCCAAAGAGCTGTCTACATCTCCAGATGTGGCTACACATCTGTACCCATGAGCTGTCATCTGGTGGAAATTCTCTGGAACTAGATAGTGATGATGGTTGCCACTGGCTAAATGGATAATGGAAATAACTGAGATGCATTCTTTTTACTGTTAGTCACTGGCTTTATTCATCAGGACCAGAAAGAACAATTCGATCCACACTGAGTGAGTCGGGAGTTAGCATGCTCGAGTATAAAGCCCCAGACTTTCTGTAGGGAGTAGATCCTTGCAGTTAAGACCATCAAGAAAACAGCCAGGTTAAGCAATCATCTAAAATCAGACACCATCCCTGGCTGATTCAGTGTGAAACTATAGTTTCTTCCTAAAACTCACAGGGCACCAAATTAGCAATTAAGTTATAGAATCTCTCTCCTACACAAACATCAATCTGAAACAGTTATAAAAAACACATTTTTAAAACGTAGTTAAGCTTTTCTATGAACTGGCTAAATTAAACCATATTACTTTGGATAAGAGGCGACATCACACAACAAAGATAACGACCTTCTCCCTCTGCCTGTGAAGTCTTACCTGTTTGATAGCTGTGACAGTGATGACAAAGAACAGTGGCAGTCCACTCGTTACTGGACTTGTGGGTGTATCAATAATCAACTGCAAGTAAAAGAGAATTGTAGAGCCCTTGTCAGAAACACGCATCGGTGACTTTAAACAGACTGGCTGGCTCTCTCACACGGCCACCTGACATTTACTTTTACTTATTTTAAATTGCTTTACGGTTACCCAACTTCCTCCCACCACTAGAGCTAAGTTAGATAAGAAGCAAATCATCCTATTTTACTATAAAACTGAGGGCAATTCTTTTTAACTAAGGGAAATGCTTAGGAAAACCATGTTAGCGGTGGCAAAGACACAGTCTGATACCAGTGTACGTTTTATGTTAATTTACTATTCTGCTTCTGGCGCCACACTTTAATTATGTTATATGGATAACTTGATGTGGGGGAAATTTTAAAAGTCCTTCAATTGTATTTTGCATACTAGTAATTGAGAAAAACTGGATTGTTGTTCTTAAAACACATCTGACCGATTCATAGCTCATTGTGATTTTCACACTCCTTTCTCCCCGCTTCCCCCCACCCCCCACCTCTCTCTTTAATGCTTTGGAGAATCTATGTATACTTAGAAGAGGGTAAGGTCACAATGCTTAGCTGGGCTGGTGAATTTCTCCTAAAGATTAGGAAGCACCTGATCTCCCCTCCAGTGCTGGACGGTGGCCAGAACCAACTCCAATGCAGAATGCCCATGTATGTTTTAGCGCCTAGGTCCCTGAACCAATACACTTGTCCCTGAAGAAAATAAAGGAAGAAACTGCAGATAAGTGGCACCAAGTTCTTGCTCCTTCTTATTAACAAACCACAGTTAATTACCTTAGAATAAAAGATCACTCATTTGGATTTGAGGTGATAGAGAAACGGTCACTGGCCTTACCTGGACCAGAAATATGATAAGAAAATAAAAGTTGGCGATTCTTCTGAATTGTTCAAACAAGTTCTTGGGTATGAAGTTCCAAAACGTGTACTGTAGAAAAGAAAAACAAAAAGGTGTCATTTTGATCACCTTTTACTTTTTTGTGTTATTTACTCTACTACATGATAAGTAGCACTGGATCTCAATGTACAAAATGGTTAGTTTACCTTTTTATTTTTGTAATATCTTTCTATTGATTTCAGAGAGGGAGGGAGAGGGAGAGAGGGAGATAGAAACATCAATGATGAGAGAGAGAGTCATTGATCAGCTGCCTCCTGCATGCACATCCCCAACTGGGGATCAAGCCCAGTCCATGTGCCCTGGACTGGGAATTGAACTGTGACCTCCTGGTTCATAGGTCAATGCTCAACCACTGAGCTACGCCAGCCAGGCCAAAATGGTTAGTTTTAGATACAAAACCCATAATTCAAAATTTAGTGTGTTTGCAGACTTTTTTTTTCAATTTTGCTGACCACAAAAACAAACTGCTGGCACAGAATGTGTTCTCCAAAGGCAGGATGTAGGAGTTCCCTCTAACATTATTCAAGGTAATGCAAAGTACCTTAACAATAGTTTTATTATTAAAACTAGAGGCCCGTTGCACGAAGATTCATGCAATAGGCCTTCTTTCCCCTGGCTGCCAGCACCAGTTTTCCTCTAGCACCCGGGACCCAGACCTTCACTCTGGCCACTGCCTTCCATCTTCGCTCTGGACACAGTCTTTGCTGCGGCTGGAGCCTTCAGTCTTTGCTCCTCGCTCCGGCGGGAGTCTTCAATCTCTGGCCAGAGCTGCTCCTGTAGCTCCTTCCACCCCCCACCCTCCCCCTCATAGCTTGATCGCTGCTTCGCCCGCAGACCTCGCCGACGGGCTCCTGGGTTCCAGGGGGCCGCCTTACCTGCACCCGGCTTTCCGATCACGATCACGATCACGGGCCGCAGGCAAGGCGGCTCCTGGGTCCTGGGGTGCCGCCTTGCCTGCGGCCCCGGTTTACGATCACGATCACGGCCACAGGGTCCCGCCGCCCAGGGCCGCACACAGGGGTCCCAGCTGGCAGCGGGGTTTAGGCGGCACACAGGGGCCCGGATGGTGGCTCATGCTGTCCCACCCTGCCTGCAGTATGCAAATTAGCTGCCATCTTTGTTGGCGGTTAATTTGCATATCACGCTGCTTAGCCAATGGGAGGCGTAGCGAAGGTATGGTCAATTACCATGTTTGTCTATTATTAGATAGGATGTCTTCCGTAAAATATAAACCTATGATTGTTAACTCAAAACGTACATGTTTAGCATTTTTCCTTGATGGTAATTTCTTCATAAGCTTTTTCTGTGTGTGGCAGTGTGACTAGATGGTAACAGAAAGCTACAACAGAGGAAGCCAACGTTATTAAGTGGTTCTGACCCAGTTTGGAGACGGTTCCGACCCAGGGGGTTGTCGGTGTCAGCACCACACAGGACAGCCCTTCCTCTTGATTCCGGGGGAAGGGAGAAGCAAGCAGGGAGAAGGTTCTGGGTGCCACTTCCTCTCCAAACCTTGCAATTTTGCTTCGGGAGGAGAGTTTCAATGTCCCAGATGTCCTTAATCGACAGTAACATGGAGCATGGAAATGGTTTTTAAAATTCCATTTGTCAAGTTTTTGCCTTTAATGAGGATAGTCTAGCGAGTGAGAAAGGGCTCTGCCCAATCTGCACGGTGACCCTTGCCCTCTGTCTGTATAATGAATAGAACCTACGTCGGCTCCGGCTGGGCAGAGCCCAGCTCTGGGTGTGGCATCGCAGACCCAGACATCAGGGGCCAAGCCCTCCTGCCAAGAGCTCCTTTAGTGTCAGAATCTCAAACACAAGTTCCTGAAAACTGAATGGCCCTAAACTATCCAACATATTCTGAATTTGGTTTTTATATCTATTTCACCTATTTCTATATCTACAGTTTAAAGAAAAAGCTTCTTTGTCTTCAGTTTCTGACTGCTTAGAGAATATACAGAGAATTTCCATTTTCTATTCTAATTTATATTCACAAGTTCATAATGAAGTTCATTAATGAGTGAGAAAACAAAGGAGTGGTTCCCCTCTCCCATTGGGCATATTTTCAGTTCCCTTCTCAGACTGGCCCCAATAAGTTACTCCAAGAGAGTCTCTAGAGGTTTAGGGGAAAAAATTAATTTTCTAGGTCCCAAACCCAACACACCCTCTCCCTTCCCTTATCTTTCATGTATAATTTCATACCAGTCTTTTATGGGATATGAGTGGAAATATCTTCTCTTAGTGACTTGTCTTTTAATTCTCTTACCAGGAAAAACTTTAATTTTAATTAAGTCCATCTTATCAATTTTACCTTTCAAGGTTAATGTTATTGGTTTTGTATCAAAAAACTCATTGCCAAACTCAAGGTCACCTAGATTTTCTTTATAGTTGTGTGTTTTAACATTTAGGCTATCGTCAATCTATTTAGAGTAAATTTTGTGAAAATGGAGGATCAGTATCTAGGTTTTTTTTCTTTCTTTTTTTGTACATGGAAGTCCATTTGTTCCAGCACCATTTGTGTAAAAGACTTTTCTTTCTCCATTGAATTGGTTTTGCTCCTTTGTAAAAAATCAGCTGACTATATTTATGTGGATCCATGTCTGGGCTCTCTATTCTGTTCCACTGATCTATTTGTCTATTCTTTCACCAATACCACACTGTCTTTATTACTGTAACTTTATAGAAAGTATGAAGTTGGGTAGTATAAGTCTTTCAACTATGTTCTTCTCCTTCAATATTGTGTCAGCTATTTTCAGTCTTTCATATATAAACTTTAGAATCAATTTGTTTTTATTTACAAAATAACTTGATGGGATTGTGGTAAGTACTGTGTTGGATATATAGATTAAGTTGGAAAGAATTCATTATCTTAACAACATTAAGTCTTCCTATTCATGAACATGGAGTATCTTTCCATTTATTTAAATCTTCTTTGATTTCTTGCATCGACGTTTTATAGCTTTCCTCATATAGATCTTGTACATATTTTGTAGGATTTATACTTAAGAATGTATTACTTTTCCTTTTGGTGCTAATGTAAATGATGTTGTGTTTTTAATTTTAACTTCTGGTCTGCACAAATTTTAACTTCTGGTCTGCACAAATTTGGAATTTAAAATCAGTTAAAAGGCCCAGCCGGCATGACTTAGTGGTTGAGCGTTGACCTATGAACCAGGAGGTCATGACTTGATTCCCGGTCGGGGCACATGCCTGGGGTCGGGGCACATGCCTGGGTTTCAGGTCACATCCCCAGTGGAGGATGTGCAGGAGGCAGCCAATCAACGACTCTCTCTCTCTCTCATCATTGATGTTTCTATCTCTCTCTCCCTCTCCATTCCTCTCTGAAATCAATAAAAAAATATATTTAAAAAATAATAAAATCAAATCAGTTAAATGGTTTCTTTATTCTAATCGGGCACAGAAGGCCCATACTATAGCTTTGATATTAAGTTTTGTGATTTCTGCATTTCATAGAATAAGTTACTCTAATAAGTTACTACTTTGATTATATGTTAATATGGTCAAAAGAAGATTATTATTTTCTGATGATGTATAAGAAAATTGAAAACCAATTGAGATAATTTAAACATTCATGATTGCACTAACAGCAACATATGGATAAAATAAAATAAAATGAACATATAATTACATATATAAGAGCTGGAAAAGTGATATTAGTGGGCCAATTATACAATTTTCATCTTTGTTAAATGGTAATCATCTAAATATTTGCTTAGATATATGGGCCACAATAGAATGTAATGCTTTGTGTACTACAAAGAATAATAAAACACTGACCTATATTCAGCTACCAAGTCCTCCCTCCTGTTGTATACAATCAGTACAATAGTACTTAATAAGCAGAAACCCTGCATTGAGCCGTAGGCATTGAATAAAATGGGCCTTTTCTTGCTATAAGAAAACTGAGGAGTCTGAGTCTACCAGAGATCCTCTCTTTACTTTAATAAGACATTTTGGGAAATGTTAAATTATACAAGACAATTACTATTCCTGGCATTTATTTCACATCACAAAAAACTACATTCCCAGAGTCTTTGCATTTGTTCTGTGTGTCATTAGCCCGGAGATGAAAATGCCTCATGAGCATCTGAGCTCGGTTTTGTCCATTCTCTCTCTCTCTCTCTTTTTTAATTCATTGTTGTTAAAAGTATTACATGTGTCTCCTTTTTCTCCCATTGACCTCTCCCCAGCACATGCCCTAACCTCCCTACTGTCTGTGTCCATTGGTTATGCTTATATGCTTGCATACAAGTCCTTTGGTCGATCTCTTACTGTCCAATCTCTTCTGCTCTACGCATAAGTACCTCTGGTTCTGGCTTGCTTACTGAGAGTATGGCTCATGACAAAGAAGAGGACAGTCTCACTTGGTCTACCTTTAGTCATGTGGTGAAAGAAAAACTCTAAGAAAGAAGCCCTGGGCGCTGTTCTTCTTTGCCAGCTGCCAGAGAGTAAAATGAGAGCACCTGGAAGCTGCCCCTAAGTCTCAGCTATTCTGTACCTGAAAGTGGATCCAGCACCACAGGTGTGCAAGGGATAGTTCTAAAAACACACTGGAGGCCAGTCACTGGTCTTCTATGGGAGGCAATCAACTCACATGGACTTAAAGTTTCTCTTTCATTTATGACTGGGAGACGGGAATGTAGAAAATTATGCCCCAATTCTGGATTACTGAGTTAGAAAATGAGTGAGCATCATGATAGGCCAGTAAGCGAGGTAGTGCTGGCCCTGCAGAGGGAGTGCTGGGCTCAGGGTCAGGTGCGTGACTTAAGGACTGGCTCATCCGCTTTGTTCTAAGGCTTGGTGCTTCAGGAATAGGCTGGATTTAATAAGTAAGAGTTGCCTCACGGGGTTGTTTTAGATCTTACCTGACATGGTAAACTTGGAAGTCATTAAGAACACTGCCCATATCTAATTGGCAGAGGTACTTTTCCCTTGCCAATAATCAAGAGTTATTTAGCTGTGTTGAAGGTATGGAGTGATAGTACAGCCTGAGCCTATTATTTAATTATGCAGCATCTTAGGGCAGAGCTGGAAACCACATGAATTTTGTGCCCAAAAGTACAGTTTTGTGAAATTGATAAAGCAGTGCTCCACCATTCTCTTGAGTCTAGGACCAGCCGCCCGGCGAGCTCAGGCAGGCCCTGGGCGGGGAGCTCTGCGTGTGGTCAGAAAGGAAGGAAGGGGGTCATGCTGAGGAGCAATTTCTTAGTTTTCCTTCTTCTATCAGACACTTGTCTGGTGTGCCTCCCCCCAAAAGGAAATGGAAGTCAAATCAATCACTGATTACCAATGACCGTGCTTCTATACCACAGGCCAGAAGTTTAACATAATTAGATTGGCCTTTTCATCCCCTAGTATAAATATGCCCATGATAAATGAGACTTCCTGAGCACACGCTTTTGTGTCCTGAAGAAGTCTTAGCCAGCAGTCTTTTCCTTTAGGTAGCAATAAAAGTTTTCTTCCCAAGAAAACATAGATACATTACCACAAACATATTTTCCAAACCTGCTTGTAAACTTATATTTTGCAAAGTAAATGTAGTTTTCATATATCCTACGCTGTTCTTAAACGAAAACCATCTCGTGCTCTGGATTTCTACCCCAGTGGATCCAAATCAATGCCACTGTCCACCCAGCTACCGGCTTAGAGCCTAAGTCCCGTCTTTCTGAGGTCCTCTTCCGCGCCGAATTTGATTAGCAATAAAGGTCATGTGATGTTGCACATAACTTTCCCTTGAATTGATACACCTTCATCCACTGATATAAAGGCATTGATCCTGCTTTTTGAGGAATGCAGATCATTCTCTGCACACACATGAACTGGGGAGGCACAGTCCCCCGTCCACTCTGAGCTGAGGTGAAACTGGATGAGTACTTTACCCAACACTCAACCCCTCTTCTGTGGGGACTCAGCCCGACCCACCTCCTGAAAGGATGTTGACTTAATTCTGTCAGTTCCTACTCTAGAGTTTCCTGGTATGAAGGAGTTTTCTGAGCAAAAAACAGTTTCAAAAAGGCCCCCAGGAACCTGCAAGTCCTTATCAAACCCAATGTCCAGCACAGGGTTTCCTTTGTCAGCAACCCAGGAGGCTTTAGGGGCTCCCATGCATGTAGGGCAGCTGGGGCCAGGCAGGTGCCACGCAGGGAGAGAAAAGATACGTCAGCAAAGGAAAGGGTGGTGAGCTGCAGAGTGAGGAGGTAAGACAAGACATCGCAAAATTATTGTTGGCTATCGGCTGCGGGAATATTTGAAAGAAAAATAGGAAAATAATAAATTGGTTCTGAAACTTGAATCAGATAACAAAGGGGATGGGATTTAGAAATCACTGCTTTCAGTTTTCTTCCCCAAAACACTGACAGGGGCTTTCAACCCCCAACTCTCTGATGCCTGCAGTCAACAAGGTGCTTTGTGTTCCAGAAAGTTCCTCCACAAAGCCTTGTACAGAACTTTCCACGTCTCCTGTAGGACCTGGGGCTGAAAGGTTGGAGGCTAAGCTTTGTCCGGAGGGAGAAGGCAGCTGCACAGGGATTTTATCAGCGGCTGAAGTGCTTTCACAAACATCCTACCCAGACTAGACACTGCGAAGCATGGGCAGGTCACCCCATCACCTGTACCCCAACTCCTGTCCTGACAGTTCACACATGGCACAACATTTTAATATTTTTCAGTGCACTGCCCTGTTTCCTGGTGCATTTGTGCTGCAAAGGAGTAGATTTTTAAGAAATTAGAATAAATTGATAGTTGCTAGATGTGAGGGAGTTGGGGGGTGCTTAAGGGATTAAGAAGTACAAATTGCCAATTGTAAAAATAGTCACAGGGGCCCTTGCTGGTTTGGCTCAATGGGTAGAGCATCGGCCTGCAGACTGAAGCGTCCCAGGTTTGATTCCGGTCAAGGGCACATGTCCGTGTTGCGGGCTCCATCTCCGGTAGGGGGTGTGCAGGAGGCAGCCAATCAATGATTCTCTCTCACCAGTGATGTTCTATCTTTCTCTCTCTCCTTCTCCCTTCCTCTTTGAAGTCAATAAAAATATTTTTAAAATAAATAAATAAAATATAGTCACAGGGATGTAAAGTACAGCATAGGGAATATAGTCAATAATATTGTAATAACTATGCATGGTGTCAGATGGGGTACCCCTTAAATTATGTAAATGTCTAATCACTATGTTGTGCAACTAAAACTAAGATATTATTGTATGTCAATTGCAATGGAAAAATTTAAAAACCTTTTTGAAAAAGAAATGTTTTTGAGATTTTTTCTTTTTCGGCCACACTAGTGGGTTGACAAGGGTACATATGTGCATAGAAATCATCTTTAGTGATCTCTACTTAAGACTGTGTTAAATTTATAAATGTCACTGCTGGACAGACGCATTTTTGGATGTGGAGTTCCCCTTCATTTTATTTCTCCTTTCAAAGATCATATTTGGGTAACTGCATACTCCATTTATTTGGTTGAGATTTTGTTTATGAGCAATTATCCACATTGTGTTTTTGGAAATTGAAGCTGCTATTGTTGTTGTTAATATTAGTAGTAGTAGTAGTATTATGTATTGCAATTTTAAAGTAAAATAATTCCATTAAAAAACTGCCTTGAAAAATAATGTTTTTCTGTTTGCAAGTATTAACAAACACTCTTTGATAGCTCATCGAAGAATGAAGTAGGTGGACCACACAGATTTACGCAACTGGCCACTCACGTGTGAATCCAGTCAGTCTATCCCAGATCTATACAGCTAGTGAACCCAGAACGTGTATATGCCTTCATGGACACTCGTGTATAGGCACCCAGGAATGTGTGTATGCCTTCATGGACACGTGTGTGTAGGCACCCAGGAATGTGTATATGCCTTCATCAACACGTGTGTGTAGGCACTGAAAAGGAAAGTTCTCCATAATCCTGAAAGCCATCATTTACCTTTTTGTCAAAAGCCAACTACAAAATTCTCCACCCTATTCTCAAGACCCATTCACCAGGTTACTCTCTCCATGTGTAAAATACGCCTCTGCAGTCCCACCCCAGTCAACAAAAACAGGGCACTATGTTCAAATGATGACATTCTAACCACTTTTCTTCTTCTCTGTATTTATTGCACGTAGTTGACAGACTCTGACATGGATTCGGTGTTTTTGTTTACAAGGTGGTCGCACACACACCCTTTCACGGGAGACATCTAACATCGTCTCGTCGTCTCTATTCGCAGATGAGGAAACTCCAGCCTGGGGTGGTTCGTGAGGGCACATGGCCAGACAGCAAATAAATAAGTGGCAGTAGTAGGAACTGAATGTCCTAGACTTCCAGTGTGATACTATATCATGATATAATCAAGAGAAATGGAGAAAATGTGCTGTTACATCTTGGCAAGTCTGAACAGTGTTTTGGAGACAAGCAGAGGGATAACGAGTTCACAAGCCCCGTGTAAGCTGCAATCACAGCCCTCGGTCGGGAGTGGATGGCAGCTGTAACGGCAGTTCTCGGAGGGGATTGCTAACCGCTGTCAGAAAATCCCAATGCTCCCCAAAGGAAGTTAATAAACACAAAGACAAGGAGGTTACCTTGGCGGAGACTATTCTGTTATCTGGGTACCTCTGCGGAATGTAGGCCTCAGCACCTGGGGGGGGCTCCTTGTGTCCCACGTAAACAGTCCGATTGTCGACCCAATTCTCTTCTCCAGCACACTGTGGAAAACGGAGTGGCGTTAGCACAAGTACCTCAGACGGTGGGTGAGAAAGTTCTTCCCTGGAGTGTTGGCCTTAGCACTTGTCCCTATGAACTTACAGCCTCCTGCAGGGCCATGGGGAAGGCTGAGCCCCACCTGCCATTGCCAGAGATCGCCTCCCCCACCTCAATCTTACTCAACGCTTATGGGCTAAGTGCTTCCGATCCCTGCCCCATTCTTCGAGGAAACGGTCTGAGTGGGCACTCTGCACTCCCAGTGGGAGCTGAGGGGCAGCCTTGAAAAAGCTGATTTACGGTGGAAGTGACATGGGGTGGGTTCGTGTAAAAAACAGAACACAACAGCAAAATCTTAAGGCTTCCAAAAGAGAAAAGACAATGATGGACAGAAATTTTGGGAAAGGTCTTTAATGAAAAAGAGTAAAATCTTGAAGACAGAACAGAAGAATTATTCAACCATTTCAGATGTCTCTATCAATAAGGCTTTCCTGGAAAGAGAGAAGACTGGGGTCTGACTCATCTTTGTATTACTCAGAGTGCTGTGTGCATGAGGATTAAGTAAATATCTTCTGAATAGAAGGATCCTTTAAAAACACCCAACTAGACCATAAGCTATCATGAACACTTACTAGTAAGTGCCTAATAACAACACTATAGTGACGGATTCGAGGCTAAAATGCAGCCTCTTATAGACATCCGGTACGGGGTCCTGGCCCTTCCTCAGACTAGCACCCCAGACCACGGTCCTAGGCCCCTTCCCCCTCAGACTAGCAGCCAAAGCATGTGCCTCCCAGTCCTCCTTCAGACTAGCACCCCAGCACAGGGTCCTGGCGTCACATCCCAATTCCGCTAAAGGAACTCCGAAGAGATCAGCCTCCCTGGGGTATGATGTACAGTGCTGGGAAGGAGAGGGACGCCTTTTAATTGCAGAGAACGTTGGTGTGATGGGCATCGGAGTCAAAGGCCTGGCTCAGTTGTCGCTGAGACTCTCAAGAGCCTCAGGCAAGTTTCTGAGCTTGAACTTCCTCCTCCATAAGGGCATGACAGCACTTTCCTCATATTGTTGGGAATGAACTAGGCCAACAAAACACATAACCAACCTCCCAGCGTGGCACAGGTTCCTGCTGCTCTCCATTTCTGGGTCCACCCTTTGTGGCTTCAGGGGACCCTCACTTTACAAAGCCAAAAAGAGAGGGGTAACAAGAAACCCAGCATTTCTATTGTTTGAGGTTATTATAAGTCTTGCATTACCCCCGCCCCTGCCTTTTTTTGCTCATACTATCATCTCCTTTGCTCATCTATCAACTTCTTGGGAATAAGACTTTTCATGTTTCCCCTCCCTACTGCTCCCCCCACCTGTGGAGCAGAGCATCCGCAGGAACAGCACGCTTACGCATTCTCTTAGCAAATTCCACCCACATTTCCTTTCATGAGGGCCCAGCTTTGTGGGACAGTCCATGTGACTAAATGATAAAGAGAAATCGTCTCTGTGACTCCACCCGTGTTTCAGAGAGGCTCAGCAGGAAACGGCACAAGATCCCTGAACAGAACCGGCCCAGGAGCCGCCTGCCTCACTCGGCATGAGCAGAGGGTTTCTTCCTAGGCACGAGCTTGGCAAGTGGCTCCCTCCGAGGAGCCTGCTGCTCCATAGGATCGAGGGGCCGCTGAACACCCAGCAAGTGGGAGCCCTCCCTCCTCAGGCCCTTCCCTGCAGCCTCCCTATTTTTGGGTGAGGCCACCTATGAGGGATGTTTACTTTAAAAACCTGCCTAAAAGCTTCATAAATCAATCTCTGGCTAGGAAAGTTAAGAAAATAAAAAATGTCTCTGACTTCCCTTTCTTTCTCAGAGCCTGGCCAAAGACGTGCTTTTCATTCCTGTGGATTCAGGAAGTGACACTGACAAAGAATATATAACAAATGAACCAGAAAAGGAAAGGCATACAAATATAAATTTTAATACAAAAATAGAAAACCTTTCTTCTAAACTTCAAAGATAGCAGTTGGCTTCCAGCCCTCGCACTGACTCTGGAAGCCCACATCTTCCCGGGGCCACACCGCGGTGCCTGGCCTGGAGCTGGTGTTCCCGGCACTCTGGCCGGGGACAGAGCGCCCCGTCTCCAGGGAGGCTAAGTCAGAATGCATTTTATTAAGGCTAATGCATGTTCTCAACCCTGTCTAATTTTTAATGTAATTATTTAACACCTTAAACATAACTCAACAGTGCAGTGCCGTTTCAACAAATACAGGTCAGAACACCATTCCTGCCTGTGGGACGAGATGGGAAAATGAACTGAACACCACATGCAGGAGGACTGGCCTAGATCTGCACAACAGAAGTCATTTGGGAATGGACCACACACTAGCTAAATGAAAGCTAAACCCTGTACAACAACGCTGCCTTTATACAGTTCCCTGGGGATGGAACAACCCAGAAGTTCCTTTAAGCTCCTTGCTTCTATGAACAGGTTTTACACTCGTGGACTGAAAGGTCAGTGAAGCTACGCTTCCCCCTGACGTGGCTCACTGCTCAGTCAGCACAGTGGAGCCCAAGGCGGGACACAGAGGAACTACATGCTCTGAAGTCATGAAGTGACCGGTGATCTTACACAGGGCACTGACAGGCAGGGGACATTTCTGGGTTCAGATTAAGACCCTGGTGAGCTCTGTATGTTGTTCTCTGCACAAATGTCCAATTCTAAGGCTAAAATTAAATGTTCAAAAGCTGAAGAGAATACAACAAAGAGGGCACTCCTGGAGAATGGCTGGTTTCATCACCACCATTACAATCACCCCCTCCCGGTCACGCGTGTCCTGCTGCTGATGGGCTGTGTGACAATGGAGAAGTGACTCAACATTTCTGTGCTGAACTTACTCAGCAGTAACTGAAGGGATTAGACTAGACCAGCTCTAAGTTCTAAGATTCTGGTTCTCGGCACACTTGGCAGTGAAAACACACTTAGTCCCTATGAGGCAATTCTTAATTTAGCCAGTGTTGAACCAAATACCAGTCACACTGTTCACTGTTAAATTGTGGTACAAAAAGAAAGTTATGCCACATGGTGTTCTAAGAATGAAGATGTAGGTTATAATAAATTCTCCCAAGGGCAGCAAAACAGAGACACTGGCCTCTCTTTCTAGGTATTCATCTTATATAGAACGTGTGATAATGCCCAACAAACTCCACGTGACTTCTCTTCTCAGAACTCTGAGACGTTGGTCAGCAAGGCAAGGCTGGAACCAGCACTGAGTGGTATTTCTTGGCTGGCAGGCTTCCTAACGACTCACTACCACCAGGTGCCCTGACTGCATCAAGAAGACACCTGGCATGCCCCCTGGAAGGCTGGCCTCAAGTTCCGATCACATGTACAAATCTAAACTGTGAGGATGAGGCTGAGCACTCAGTTGCTTCTAAGATGCAAAATTATCCATCCACACACCCTGAGCTGTTCCCAGAGGGTGGTGGTGAAGGGGTTCCCACTGAATTTTGGGAATCACCAAACCAACAGCTGAGAGGCCACTACTACCTGAGAGTTTGCAAACCACCAGAATGAACACAGTCAGAGGAGGGAAGATAAGAATAATCCAAGGAGTCTTTTTTTCTTATTATTTTTATAAAATTAAATGGTCACATACAGAAACAAGGGAGAAAGCACCAAAAAACAAACAAACAAACAAAACACAAAAAAAACCCCCAACACAAACAAACCCAAAACCAACAACAAGGCTTACTGGGGAAAAATGTACCATCAGAGAAACTGGCAGAGAGAGTGGTGGCCAGGTGGGTACCTTGTTTCATAAATAAGTTCCAGGAAGGATGTGAGTTTGAGAGAAGAACCACAAATAACGATGCCTATTCCAGCAGCGAGTGAGACCAGGGATGGAAAGTGGACCCCACACGTGTGCTGTGGGGCTCTGCTCTCGTAACCCCTAATGAATAAATGAGGCTTGCTAACAAAGCCGTCACCTTGAAGGAATGGAGCAAATTAATATATGCTCAGTAGCTTTGTCCTGATGAGCTAGAAATGTACACACACAACAGAGGGCTCAGTAGCTTTGTCCTGATGAGCTAGAAATGAAAACTTCGACTTTCGTTCTATAGTGTGGAAAACACTGCAAACAAATATGAACATTTTGCTCACACCCGCGGTATACTTACAACCAATCTGTTGAGAAAGGTAGGTAGATGGTATAGTTTATTTTGGCAAATTACATGTTACTAATTACTTCTTAAAATCCTACTCAGTGTGCAATAGAATTCTTGTAGTAAATCCAGAACACAGGTAGATGTGACACCTGTCAGTAACTTATGTTAACACAACAAACCCTCCTTCCTCTACTTCTGATCTTGATGAAATGGTTAAAATTACTGAAGGATCTAATGTCCAGTGAGTTCAGGTCACTAAAATGAAAATTGGATAAGCTATTATTTAACAGAAAACAAAGATCAGTGATGGCGAACCTATGACACGCGTGTCAGAGGTGACACGCGAACTCATTTTTTTGTTTGATTTTTCTTTGTTAAATGGCATTTAAATATATAAAATAAATATCAAAAATATAAGTCTTTGTTTTACTATGGTTGCAAATATCAAAAAATTTCTGTATGTGACACGGCACCAGAGTTAAGTTAGGGTTTTTCAAAATGCTGACACGCCGAGCTCAAAAGGTTCGCCATCACTGACATAGATGGTCAACATCATTTGTGGGTTAAGAAATACATATCAAAACGACAAGGAGACACAACTCCTTATCCACCAGGATGGCTAGAATAAAAAATAAGCGAGTTTGGCAATAACACAAGTTGGGGAAGATGTGGATAAACTGGAACCCTCATATATTGCTGGTGGGAATAGAAAATGGTGCTACTACTTTAGGAAACAGTTTGGCAGTTCCTCAAAAAGTTAATTAAGTTTTTTTTTTTAATGAAATCTTTATTGTTGAAAGTATTACATATATCCTCCTTTCCCCCCACTGAGTAAGTATTTTTGCTTAAATGAAAGG